TGAAAATGGCGATTTTAATACGGGCTCTTATGGGACGCGGTCTTTTATTGTTTATAACTAATTTAAAAGATCAACCAACTTAATAAAAAATATATTTTCTGAAAGAGAAACTTTCAAGCTTTCGATTGGTAACTAATGAGTAATTAAACAAAATGTGAGTAAAATCATTGATTTCGAATAGTGCGAGCGGTTGTCTACCTAATGCGAGAAAAAGACAGACAGATGCCTCGCTGTACTATTGTTATGATACTGTGTAGAGCCTCCTTAAAAGCCTATTGAAATCAGTCAAACCAAAATTTTGTAGACCTCCTCTTCAATTATGCTCGCCTGATGATTTCGGTGTCGGGTGTCACTTCGATCCCGTCTCGCTCGAAAAAGTGAGAGGCTGAATTCAATGTGCGGTACGATCAAGTCCCCCGTCGGTAGTCAAGATCATTTTGACATTTTTCACGCTTATTGAGAAGAGTCAAAATCGAAATTTCGTACACCAGCTCTTCGATCATGATTGCCTTATATAGATTGGTTACATTAATGAGATATACGACTGAGATTTGCAACTCACTATTTCGACGTTTTCATGTTTCTCCTCTTGAAAGAGTGATGGGCTGAATAGCGTAAGTAATTCATAAACATTTTGATTGATTGTACTACGGAATCATTTCCTTAAAAAATGAGCAGCTGAATATGTAGTGTACCTACGAGTAAATACAAGCCTACAGCAATGCTATTTGGGACGATTTTACGAATATCTATTGAAATTAGTCAAAACCAACATTTTGTATACTTTCTACTCAGTCATGCATGCCTGGTGTATGAGTGGGACAAGTAATACTTACACAGCCAGTAACTCATTTTTGTTAGATATACTTATTTTATACTCTCATCTAATGTTAATCTGTAATTATTCTGTATTTTTATTCTTTATTTGATTTTCGCGCTTACACCAGATGTCGCGCTCACCTTTCTTTGTATCCGGCCTCTCGGCCCTTTTTGTGTAACCGCTCACTCGCTCTTCTCGCGCCTACTCGAGAGCTCATATACTTTGTACGTAAATTGTGTTTAATTAATAAAAGTTATAATTAACAAGTGTTAGTCTCACTCTTAATTCTCACAGGTTATGGGCCCAGACATTGCAAAAACATAACCGAGATAAAAGAGACATACCGTTTTTCAATAGTGCAAAAGTTTCAGTGTCGGAAGTGAGGTTAACCACGCGTAGTATTGATCAAAGATGTCCGAAAATCAATACGTAACGCACACTCCGCGCTTCGAGCTACTCTCTCGCGACAATTACGACACATGGAGGATCCAGGTAGAGGCCTTATTAATCAAAAACGACGGCTGGGACTTCGTCTCGGGCGCTACACCAGCACCTGCAATCGGAGGGGCCGACGCCGCTGCACGGACCGCAGCCGAGGCGGCTTATAAGGCATGGCTGGTGAAGGACCGAAAAGCCAGATCAGACTTGATCCTCAGCATCTCGCCCTCCGAGCTAAAGGAGATCAAGAATTGCAACACATCGCATGNTGTTATATCCCCCCGTTCGGTCGTACCTTTGACTCTCGTAAGTGTTGGAGCAAATGCGATTTAAATCGATACTTTTCTCGCATTCCTCGCATGTGAAATCTTTTTGACCTTCGTGCACTGTCCTCTGATGCTTTGACAAATGTGATTTTCGTCCAAATTTCTTCTCGCACTTATCACATGCGTAATCTTCGCTACCTTCGTGGTCTGTTTTTATATGCAAGATTAAACTTTGTATAGTATCAAATCTCTTCGCACACATTTCGCATGAGTAATTTTTGAAAACTTCGTGATATATGTTTTTGTGCGTGAGTAAATTTGATTCATTTTCAAATGTTTTTTCGCATTTGTTACTCTTGAAATCCTCGCGATTTCTGTGTACCAATTTTTGGTGCATAATCAAACACGATTTCATCACAAATTTCTTCTCGCATCTGTCACACGCGTATTTTTCTTGTTCACTGTGAACAGTGTATAGGTGTAAAATCATATTTGATTTTATTGTAAATATTTCCGGACAAATATCCCAAGAATGTTTCTGATCGTCAGAGACTACTTCCATGGATTTCTACTCACTTTTATCCATTTCGGTGCTTAAATTGTACTTTGGATTCTTCTATTTAGTGTCACGAAAATTAAGTGAGTAAAAATTTATCTTTCGGTATTATGTATTGTTTGATCGGGAAAGACAAAATTCAAACTAACTTATTTTCACTATAAATGCGATGAGTGTGTCGAGAAGCTATGTCAAAATTGTTTACTATGATATTGTTTACAATTATACATTATACAATATTCGATCAAGTTTAAAATTCTAACTCGGCGACGATTCCTTATTTTTTTATTGAAGTTTAAACTGGTCAGCTTGAAAAATGATCTGTAGTGCATGTACGATACGAGTAAAATTTTGTGCACATCCACGTTCTTTAGAGAATTTCGCTGTATGCTTACCGAAATTGAGATTAGTCAAAATGGAAACTTCGTACACTTTCTCATCGATTATACTTGCCTACGAATATCGGAGATTAAACGGCCGCGACGCAGCTCGCACTAATATAGCCATACAAACTTCGTAGCCTATGAAAATCGTTGTCTACTATTTCAACTGTTCTGATTGGTTGTAGGGTAGCTCTAAGCAATCCTCTCTATAAAGCCTATTGAAACATGTCAAAACCAAAATTTTGTAGACCTCCTCTTCAATTATGCTCGCCTGATGATTTTGGTGTCGGGTGTCACTTCGATCCCGTCTCGCTTGAAAAAGTGAGAGGCTGAATTCAATGTGTGCGGTACGATCAAGTCCCCCGTCGGTAGTCAAGATCATTTTGACATTTTTCACGCTTATTGAGAAGAGTCAAAATCGAAATTTCGTACACCACCTCTTCGATCATGATTGCCTTATATAGATTGGTTACATTAATGTGATATACGACTGAGATTTGCGCAACTCACTATTTCGACGTTTTCATGTTTCTCCTCTTGAAAGAGTGATGGGCTGAATAGCGTAAGTAATTCATAAACATTTTGATTGGTTGTACTACGGAATTATTTCCTTAAAAAATGAGCAGCTGAATATGTAGTGTACCTACGAGTAAATACAAGCCTACAGCAATGCTATTTGGGACGATTTTACGAATATCTATTGAAATTAGTCAAAACCAACATTTTGTATACTTTCTACTCAGTCATGCATGCCTGGTGTATGAGTGGGACAAGTAATACTTACACAGCCAGTAACTCATTTTTCCATGATTTCTGTTTCTCTTTAAAAAGTGGTGGGCTAAATATATGTCCCGTGTCCGAGGCGAATCAGATCTCAATCGCGCGTGATAATGTGTACGCTTAGAAGAAGAAGCATTTTATTTTACAAACAAGAATCGATGCATTATGCAATATTATAAATAATAAAGTTACTAATATTCTGCTTTATCTTGCCATATTGAACGGATTTTGCAAAAGAATATGGTCGATTATCTGTGAAGTCGAATGACCAGAAAAATTTTTTTTCGCAAATATGAAAAACTTGTTGTTTGCGATGTCGGATTTGTCCCAAAATTTTTAAAAAAATTGGGACCTTCTATGACACTCTTTCAGAGACCCAAAGTTGGACATTTTAGCGTTTTTTCGAAATTCATGAAAAATCACAAATATTCAAATAATTCCTAGATTATAGTAGAATGATTCAAAAGTAAAAGTGACCACAATGTAGCTTTTTTGTTATAAATTGTTTCTTGAGAAAAATTCTAGAAGTTTTCATTTACTTTTTTGTGTTTCAACCGCCATTTTTTGTGTTTAAACATTAATTTTTTCAATCGGAACCCCACTAACTTTTAGTTTAGATATCGAGATATCGAGGAGGATATTGGCACAAAACCCCTGATATTTCAAATTAGGAAATTCGAAAAATAAAAAAAAATTGTTTTCAAAATCACGTTTTTTTTCTCAAAATCAAGTTTAACTTTTGACCTAATCATTTTTTCATAAATCTGATATCAAATTCCGAAAGGGCATTAAATTTTACATTAGAATTAGTTACTCGCATATTTATATGACCCCATTTTCAATAAAATTACATGGGCCGAATAAAGCGTTGAAAAAACGTCCTCTTGGGACTTACTGGGTTAATAATTTTTTTATGCAAAATCATTATAATTTAATTATGAAAATAATATATATTAATTGCTTAACTATTAATATACTCATACCATCTACATATTTTCCCATAAGCATCGAAACAAATGAGTAAATTAATAATTAAATTCTTAAATAGTTTTAAATATTTTAAAATAGTTTATAACAAAAGGTTTATGTATAGTTTATAATCATTTATTATTCGTAGGTTTATTATTCACAATCCCTGGAGATAGTATTAATTCAGAGTAAATTTGACGCTATTATTATTGTTGTTATCAGTGGTCATAAGTTCATTATTAGTGTTGACATTTCTAACTTGGAAAAATTTTTAGCGAAAAATTGACAATAATTATTCATTTATTCTTTAAAAAAGTTTACACATCGAAATTTGAGTTTGAAAGTTTTACACAAAACGTTCATAATTCCAAACTGTAAAAAAAAATTTCATTCTTTTATGCTATTTACAATTGAATGATCATTTTAATGCATAACTAATCGATAGACATCTTTTTATTTCATAGGGTATTTTAACCAAAGTTTTACGAATACTAATTTTGGTTATTTACATTCATGCAAAACATGTTACAATAAAATTGTAACATCGATTTTTCTTTTCGAATTTAATGTAATTTCATTTTATAATTAAAATATCATTGTCTTAAACAATAGAAAATAATTTTTACGCAATTTTTTAATTCGAACTTAAAAATCATTTGAATTTTTCGTCGGATTTCATGCTTGATTTGCTGCCTCGCGCGAGGCACTAAATTGTACGCATTAAATCGTCAGAAAATCCTACCTATTTTTTATTTAAAAATAACAATCTTATAATCAAGTTTAAAATATTCTACGGAAATCGTGAATTTCATTCCGTAATTTTGCGATGCTGCAGCTAAAACTATATATAATTTTCAACAAAGCATAATTAAGAGCATCTATTTTTTCGCAAAAATACAATGAGTCAATGGTTCATCTCACCATTGGAAATTTATACATGAGTTTTAGTATGAAAAAGTTAAAGACTATTTAATTTTTCATAAATACTTCATGTGGCTTAACATACAACATATCTACAATAAATTAGCGCATTAAGATAGCAAACGAACATGAAGAGTTGACAGCGCTTATAGGAATAAAGATAATCATCTTTCATGTTACTCTGCCGTCAAATAGCCGTGGTTTGCGATGCCGGAGGCGGCGTCAGCGGTGTCCAGCCTTGCTGTCGCTGATCTTCCTCGTCCGATCTAGTCTGCGGCTGCTGCTGCTGCTGCTGAATATCATCCAACGCGTTACTAGTCGTTATAAATCTACGCCCATCCTACATTATAATTGCGTGTTACAAAGTTTTTAGAGTGCGCAAAAAATGGGGCTAAATTCGAATGACCGACCCACCATGTGCTCAGCTCTGACGGCGGCCTCGTCGGCGGCGGTCGTTTGTTGCTGGGACTCGTAGCTCGACACCGTCAGCTGCTGCTGCTGCTGCTGCCGATGGTGCTGAATCGAGTCTTTGGAGTCGTACGGACTGGTCGATTCGGCGTCGTCGCCGTGAGTTTGGGCGTGATGGAGATGATGATGATTCAGCTGCTGATGCTGCATCTGCAGATGATGATGATGGTGGGCGGCCGCTGCCTCGTGATGATGATGATGATGATGATGATGCAGTTGATAGTCGGAGTAATCCTGACTTATCGGTGACTCCTGCGGGTGCACGGATTGCTGCAGATTCGAGCCGTTCTTCGGGACAGAATAAAAAACGTTATCATGAACATTTTCAATGGGTCTAGATGCGTCGTTGTCGCTACGAGTACTGACTGTGTACGATATCTGATGATGCAGATGCAAATTGAGATTCAAGTACGACTGCTGCTGCTGATGGTGAATCTGCTCGCTCAGACTCGGGTGCATCCAGCTCGGGGGTGCCGCCACCTGCTGATGCGGCTCCAATTGGGCGGCAGCCTCTTGCAGCGACGAGGACACCGCCGCCGCGGCGGAGGCGTACAGAGGCGTCGTCGGCAGCATCGGCGGCGACAAATTGTTGTTGCTGCTGACGATGCTCCGCTGATGGTGGTGCTGCTGGGCGTGATGGTGATGATGATAGGGCGAGGTCGCCGCCGGGGAATTGGGCGACGAGGGCCAGTCTTGACTCGAGGCGGTGCCGATCGATGGCGTCAACGGTGTCAAGTGTTGCGGAGGTGAGTGTTGCTGCTGTTGCTGCTGCTGTTGATTCTCGGGGCTTCTCGAGGACCAACTGCTGGCGTAGGGGCTCGAGTGCAGCAGAGCCACCGGACTGTACTGATGCTCGTTCTGCTGCTGCTGTTGCTCCTCCTGTGTCGTCATGTGTTTGTGGTGGTGGCGCAGCGAGTAGGGCGCTGACCTGCAGCTGCCGCTTGTCCTCGGGTGGCCGCTCGACGCCGCGGATACACTGACGACGGGGGAGGAGGACGAGGAGGACGAGGAAAGATTGGCCGTGACCATCGACGCCTGGCTCTGGGCAGCTGCGAGACTCGCCTGGTAGTCGTAGCCGAGGCCAGCGCTCTGATGCTGCATGAACCAAGGCCCGGGATCTGAACGATAAAAAAAAACCACAGTGAGCCAGAGAAAGGTGAAAAAAAAAAAAATAAATAAATCATTTTTAATGGAAATAAGCAAATAATTGGAAAATACATGGAATCCGGTATGAGTACAAGGTAAACTTTCAGTTGAGCAGCTATGAATTTTATTCCAAGAAATATTTTTATGAAATTAAGTCAATCAATATTTTATAAAAAATGCTTATAATTGTTAGTTTACTTTTATATGAAAAATTTTATTTTAAAAGCTGTTGAAAAAAAGTTTTATCTTTAAATTTGTTGTTTATTGGCAAGTATATCTGCTTGTAATTTTTTTATAGTATTTTTTTATTTTGTCTTATTGCGTATGCTATATAGGTCGTTCATAAATGATATCATCCCGAAGCAGAGAGATATCTTAATAAACTCAGAGTCAAAAACGAGGCTACGTTATGAAATAGAAACTTGGCACCGTTTTGCCTTTGAGTTTCGTGACGATATATATAAATGATCCATGAGTAATAAAAATACAAACAACAAGGAGGAACGACTTATATATTACGTACATTGTGCATACGGCTGCGAGTCCGTCGGCCTCTCTTTCGCGTCCAAGAACGCCTTGGCAAACGGATTGTACTTGATCTTCAGACTGGTCACCTCCTCGTTCTGATAGGCCGTAACGGCGATGAACTGCGTCTCCGGAAATCGATACGTGAGGACCTGCGAACGAATAAAGATCAATCATGTTATTGCGTCGTTACGAGATGCACGCACTGTCTATGTGTAATATACTGACGGTCCTCTGCTCCTCGTTGCCTACTCGCACCAGGTGGACGCGCGGCTCGTACTTGTGCAGCGAGTTGAGCATTATCTGGCCGTTGCCGTTGGACTTGTTGGTGAGCTTGACCTTGGCGAAGGAGACGGGCTCCTTCATCCAGTGCGCGCCGAAGTTCGGGCTCTCCGGGTGTATGTAGATGGGATTGGGCGGCGCCACCTCGGCCTTGCCGCCGGGCACCCACTCGCCGTTCACGTACTTCCACCTACAGCGCGTGACGAGAGGCGGAAAATCGTGTTATATATACGGGTGTCACAAAAAACAACGACAACGACGTCGATGTACACGATTCGGAAGCATATAGTCGTTTATTACCTGTGAGGATCGATCTGAACGAATTCCAGGAGTAGGGTGTACATGGCCGCGGACTCCAGGCCCCGTGCCACCACCTTGACCACCGGAAACATACGCCTGTTGATAAAAGGCAACGTACAGGTTGATTATCTTCGATAATTCGTAGATAATTTTTCGGAAAAAATATCATAATTCAATTATGCAAGCGATAAGAAAATTCCGGTTTCCATCGGTTTTGATCATAGTACTTAATTATAGCTCTGATTTACGATGGTGATAAATCGAAATATTTTGTACAATTATTACTATCGATTTCGATTGACTTCATTGAAAAGCCATATATTGCATTACGTATGAAGTGGCTCCTGGTATATACATCAAACAATAAAACTACTAATGATATATCACGGTTCTTGTAATGGCCTTTCTATTGAACTTGTCTGCAATGCTATGATATAGAGCTCAACTCAAAACTGCTGTTTGCTTTGCAGCAGGTTGCTCGCTTTCTTTTTCGATTTAATGGATTCATAAAAAGTGAACTCGTAAAAAAAAAATGAAGGAATTAAATCAAAACCCATCATAACGAAAGTAAATAAAAACTCGTTCTCTCTCCGTATAATATACGCGCATTTGAAAGATATATAAGAGTTCTCGAATTTCAAGCGAGCGAGAGAGATACATATTAAAGTTTTATGAATTTGTAGCAATGGCGCGGCACAGAGTTGAGCTGTGCACCACGCGCAACACTACAAGAGGAAGACCAGCAGCACGGCGTATATATAAATGAGTCTTTTGATGTAAGCCGCGCGAGCCGAGTTGACGTTGTAAATTTTATCACTCGGTGCATATTATAATGGTTATTCGGCGTTATAATACGCGGGTCGAGTGCGCGTTATAATTATCGACTGCGATCAAGATATACATTAGCCGTATTGTACGAGCTCGGTAATGCACGTGACGCAGAAATAATACGAGTCGCACTGGAATACGCTGTAATATATACATCGGTCCGCTCGACGAAAACAAAAATCTTGGGCAAATTTTAATTCCCCGACAACAACAACCTGTCGTCTGTCGTGGCGATTACTACACACACTCGAGTACAAATACAAACCTGCCGTTCTTCGTCACGATCATTTCGTTGGTGATGCATTGAAATCTCATCCAGAGATCGCGATCCTCCAGCGCCAGCGAGAGACCACTGATGCCGCTACTACTCGCGGAGGCGGAGGAACAGTTGTCGGCGTCGTACTGCTGCTTCTGCGTGTCGTTGATCGCGCGATAATCCACGACGAGCTGCTGCTGCTCGACGTCCAACGGCGACGACGTAGACGACTTTTCCCGCCGCGAACTGTCACTGCCGCCAGCTGCCACCGACGAGCTGGACGACGTCGACGATGCCACCGTTTGCATCGTGAATTTGTTGCGCTGTTTTGCGCTTCCGCTGTTGCTCTCGTAGGAATCAATTATGAGATCTGTTATTACCGGGATTAAGTAATAGACGATGACAAATCGGAGCATCAATGGTACGAGCGGAGCATAATAATTTCGCTGTGGCTGCTGCTGCTGCTGGATTATAGAGCCAGGAGAGAAATAATAGTGCAGTCGCAAAGGAATGAACGAGACGCGCATCGGTTTGGCGTCCACCGCTGCGGCTGCTGCCGATGCTGCATAATCTCGCGAGGCGACGAGTTTTTTCGGCCTTATATATGTATATTCGATCGATGCACTCCTCTATATATATGGAAGCCCGACGAAGACGACGCACTAATTCCGCGATAATCGCCTTTTCGCACACAATTTTACACATAGAGACACATACACAAATATTCACGCGTTATAACACAGCACAAAGGTATCGCTTGTTGTTGCGACGTATATACTAAATAGAATAGTGTGCGAGCGAGAGAGAGAGAGAGAAACTGGCTCGTAACACCAGGGCGCGATATTTCACACTAGCACAAGATCGCGGCTCGTCGAGGCGCGAAGCTCTCTCTGCTGTTGCTGCTGCTGGACCGGGGGGCTGAGCTCTCCGCACTTGTAGCGTTGTTAGCAGCTGCGACTCATATAGGAAGGTCGACTCGCGCGACGCGACTAATTGTTTTTCTCATTAGAGGCCAGAGAGGCAGTGTGGTGCGAGACGCGAGAGACGAGTCCCCCCGCCGGCGGTCCCCGTTGATTGGCTATTGGAGTCTCGGCGCTGCGGCTATTGGAGTCTCGGGCCTGGTGGGCCGACGGCCAATGGCGGCCACAGAGAGAGAGCGAGACACGCCCACTGGGTTACTCGCGTATAGCGATCGAACTCTGCGCGAACGGCCACATGCTGCTGCTGCTGATGCCGATCTATGCTTTACTTCTCCGGATTATGCGATAAAAGCGAAGACGATTTTTCGCCGATTTTCCACGCAGCTTTCGTGCCGATGTCGTCGTCGTCGTCGCGCACAGTGTGCATCGAAATTTCGCATGAGCAAAAAGTCAGAGAAGTGCGCGTTTCGTTGAGATAACGTTTCGACCACTGTTTCATGTACTCGACTATCAACGAGTAGTGATAAATGTTTGAATTTGACGATAGCGGATGTTTTTCAGAAAAATATATCGTTGTGCATACTGCAAAGTACTCGATTGATATAAAATTGTTAGCTATTAATTCGACAGAACATTTAGTCTTAAAAAAATTGTTTTTTTGACATGATTTTTTGAATGACGGTTGATTGAAAAACAATTTGACCAATTCTATAAATTGTGAAAATACTATTTCTTACAGCAACAAAACAATTTTTAGTTAGCTTTACGAAAATGCAGTTTTTTCATACCAACTAAGAATTTTATATACGGTCTATGATATCAACAGTGTGACGAATGTCATGGAAATGCGTATAAAATCTCCATGAGAATCATACGAATCTTGTATATGAGTCATTCTGAAAAATAAATAAATAAATAAATAGACAACCTGTTGAAACATTTATATGGCTGACCATCATAAAACAACAGGTACGTTCGATCCCATATCCATACTAATTAAATTGATTTGTCAGAAAATAAAAATGTGCACTGTATAGTATAAACATTTCGTATATAACGTGTGTGGCAACGTCGTCATTACAATATTCTGCATCGACGATTCAAAATGCTGTAAGATTTGAATTTAATATTTTAATTTTTTTCTTCGTGTGTTTATTCAGTCTTTTTTTTTTATTACACCGTACTAATGAATAGTCGTGTCGTATCGATCAACACATTTCTATGTATATTCTATTTCACGAGCGACATATATGAATGAATGAATTAATAATTACGTATATTGAAATAACTCATAAACACCATTATCATAAGTGTGCCTCGTCATTAGGAGCAGAAAAACACATAAATTTTCAGTTCTTTTACTCTCTTAGTCTCTTTTCCGTCGCGATCAAAGCTCGCGCGAGCCGCGCTTAAAAGCGAAATTTCTCTCTCGCCTACGAAATTACTATCGGTCCTCTTTTTTTTATTTTTTACTTTTCGAGAAAAAATTTTCGTTCAATTTCACCATCGGATCTTTCCATACGAGAGATGCGTAGGGTAGAACGCGACCATATCGTACACGATGCCGTGTGGCCTTAAAGGAGTGCCATCGCGATGAGTCCGCGCGCGAGAGTCAGTTTTTTTTAGCGGTAAAAAGAAAATGTGCTTCGTGAAGGCATCGAAAACTCCTTTTTTTTTTCTTTGTTCGCGGTAGGAGGAAAGAAAAAAATAAAATTCATTCCAAGCGCGACTCGCGGCTCGAGCGAGAGACTCGATATGCAAACGTCCGAACCGCACGTCCGAGTATACAGTTGTTGTTCGCGTTTTGTACATACGTAGGTTGCCGCGGCGGCGGCGGCGGCGACGACGACGAGAGGTGTTAAACAGAAAAATCAACACTGGCCGCGCAGCCGTCCTGTATACGTGTTTGTCCACTCGCTCTCCGCTTCTTTTTTTCCCCTTTTCTTTTTTTTTTCCGAGGATAAGAGATCGCTCGCGTCCAATTCGTTCGGTGTGCGGTCTGTTGTTGCTGCTGCTGCGCGGGTTATGCCTCGTGGGTTACTTTAGCGAGAAAATAAAATTTTTTGTCTCTGACCAAAACGAAAGATCGGGTCGAGAGCATATCGCACAGGTCGATACGTACGTATATATACAATAAAGAGTCGAGCGCCCGATCATCGTGTATGAATTTTTACGAGCGAACAGGTAGTAGCAGCGGCGCTACTTGTAATATGTATTCATTAGCGTTTACCGAAATCGAGCTGGGTGGCGGCTAAATGTAATAATGTCGCAATAAAACTGCTACATCCGACCGTAACGTATTCCGATCGGTTCGATTACTATAATGCCATATAATAATTAAAAGAACAAAGATGGCATGCGGAAGAGCCGACGGACGGACGGACCGACGGTGGTTTGCGACTTCCCAACTTTCGCAGCGGCGCGGCGCGACTTTAAACAACACACGTTTCTCTTATCTAATGGGCGAATTCTTCCTTTTGTGCGTAACGGTAGCTCGTCGCTTATACTTTTGCGCGTGTTTTGACCGAGGCCGAGAAAAATTATAATATATAATGAAAGGGTCTGACTATTCAGGGGCGAATTTTTAATTTTCGTGTCTACAACTCTAAAATTGATAAACGAAACTCAAAATGATCCTAAGTAACCCTATAGTTTTTCCTGAAATATAATCGAAAATTTCTAGAATTTCGATTTCTAGAAAAATAATCGAGAATTTCCTCTGAAAGTAGCCTGCGTGCAAAAAGTGCGTAACCTGCAAGAGAGTAATAAAATAGTACAGGTGACAAGTTTTAATTGTGCTCCTATGCTACTCTAGACAATTTACGTAAATATTTGGGTAAATGCAGTAAAAATATTTCGAGCACTTGTCATGCGAACGAAATTTCTCTTCCTTCGTCACTCAACAACGTCACAATATCTCTCTCTCTCTCTCTCGCACGGACCTGCTGCTGGTGATACTATACGGCATTTACCGATGATGAGTACCTGTCATAAGCTCTCGGCGCGCACGAGTGGTGTGTGTGTCTTTATACAGCCTCCATAAAACGACTTTTTACGATCGCATTTAGTTATACAGTCGTCGATTGGAGCGATGCCGCCTTTGGGTATATGCCTAATAACGGAGACGCACGCAGGTAAAAACCGGAAGTCGCGTGCAACATTGCCGCCACAGCCACATGTTTCCGTGTGTGTAATATACTACACAACAGAAATCGGGCAGACATTTTTATGGCGATAACAGCAGCAGCAGCAGATTCTCTTTTTTCATTCTTACTAATACTTTCCAAGTTATGAGAGCAGAGTAGAGTGCGTCGTACATTAAGAGATACGAAATTTTTTATGTATCATTGTAACCCGCCTGGGCCTTTTATTTTTCGACATCGCATAAAGACCTTTTCAAGATAATATTTTCAAGATAATAATTAAAAAATTAATGAATTATAATACAGAATCGATAATTAAATCTCAGCGGCGTATCCATCGTCCGTCGTATTATTCTTATCCGCGTCTTTGCGCGACGGCATTCTCAGGTCCAAACACTCGGACTGCCACGTATCGTCGCCGTCGTCGTCATTCGTGCCTGTGCCTCTGCCGTAGTAGTCCGTCGCGCGACGACAACGATGTCTGCAGTGCGCCGGCGGCGGCTCTCGAGCCGTCAACGCTAGCGCCAAGCAAGTCCGTCTCTGGTCTCTGGTCTGCACGTTTCGCTATATACATCGCCGAAAAGTGTCGAATTATATTTCCGATACCTCCGACTCCGATTTTCAACTTACCAACTTGCGCTGCGATGCCAAATCCTCCGCCGCTGAGTCGAAGCACTGCGACATCGGCCTCTTCAGACCGATCCCTCGATGATTTTCCGGACGGAATCTGCGAGAAAGATCGGGAAGGGAGAGGTTCGGACTGGACCCGGGCTGGAATAGGAAAGGAGGCGAGTGAGTGATTTTCTTTGTCGTCGTAATAACCGAGACATCGTGTAATTACAAACGTTTATTCATTTGATTCAATGTTATTTTTATTATTTCGATTAAATCGTCGAGGCGCTGCGAGTCAACATTTTTTTTACACACCCTCAAAAACACGCGATACTTCGTTAACGTCGTTTTTTCCCTTCGTTTTACTCAGTTTCGATCGACTTTTTTTTCAATTAGTATTATTTTTTTCAATGGACTTTGTCGCGCATCGCGAAAATATGTACTTTAATTTTTTTTGGTTTGTTCGTCGATGCGCAAGTCGTTCATTGAATATTTATTATTAATTTTTTTTTTAATGATATGTGTAACACAAGTTATCGTGTAGTCGGGTGAGAGTTTTGATATCGTTTCAGACGTTTTCGGTTTACGTGAGTGAAGGTACTTCAATTTTTCAGAATATTGTATAGTAGTTCTTTAAATTTTTGCCAATAATTCAGTGAACTTTCATATAGATAATAAAGTACAGTCATGAAGAATTTTCATTATTATGATCTCTATCGACGTGTATAGGATTTCTAAGAAATCTCGTTCGAAGTGAGATAATTTTTATTGATGAAAAGATCGTATTTAAAATTCGTGGAAATTCTAATTAACTCGCGTGTGGAATCACGCGCACTTTTATTTTAAAAGATTTAAAAAGTTTGGAAAATTGGAAGTTAGTAGAGTAGTAGAAAAACACAAGCGTTTGGATATGAACAAAATTTCGTTGGTCCCATAATAGATAAAAAAGAATCAGGTTAGAAGTTCTTTTGGTTTTCTTTTTCGTTCTTTTAATCGCATTGGTTTTGTGCAAACCACCTCGCGCAACAGATTTTTTTATACACCCATTCAGACACTGACTCAGTCATTCACATTTCTTTGGCTACCTCGGCATTACGTAAATACGTTTTTTGCTATTAACTATCGAACACATAAATATTACACGCGAATCGTGCGAATAGTAATTTGCTCATGATTATTTTTAAGCCCGATTAATTTCAAACGTTTTTCGAGTTTGTTGCTGTTGTGGCAACGATTCAGTGTTTGAATCAAAAAAATCACATCACTATTTGCTCGATAGAAAACAAGACAATTTTTCGTACGTCAATTGATTTGAATGTTGACTATCGGTACTTGGCGTTTCTTTATCAAGTACCTCGAATAAAATAAAATTTTTATACATTTTTTTGGTCTTCTTACTATTTCAAGTTATAACTAAAGTTCAACCCATTACAGCAGTTTCTTTGTATATAGGGTTTGCAAAATTTACTAGATCATTTTTTCTTTTTTTGATGCGTATATGCAATTTTTTGAAGTTGTGTACATTTACATACACACGCATATGTATATATTATATATATTTTAATTAATATGGATGATTCTTTGTCTAACCGAATGCTTCGAAATTTTGTTCATTACATTAGTTGAAGCAAAATTTTGAGTCATTTGATTCAGTAGAGAATCGTCCACATATTAATAATATTCTTTTTTATTTATTATACATAATAATAATATATCTGTTATCACATATCTATTCATTTTGGTGATGATATAATATATATATCAATAAGACTTTATAACAATAATAAACTTAGTCATTACCTCACTACTAAATGGGTATAGTATCATACTTTTCTTAAAACGTTTCGATTGTTTTTGTTAAAATGCTACAATAATAATTTTTGATTCTCATATAAATATTAATGATTCTATAACATTTGATTTTAGCGATTGGTACTTTTACGTCATCTGAAAAATTTAATTAGCTCTGCTTTTCTTTTGTGCTGTTCAACCCTATAATTTAGACGATCATCGTTTTCAATCAAACAACATATAATGTAAATATCACAACAATTTTTTTTTTCTCCTATAAACAAAGGAAGCACAATGCATTTGAACAGTATTTTTTTTTCTTCAGAAGTACAGAATCATTTTTTTAGAAATTGAAATTATCTTGCACACAATAACACGTGTATTAGTCCAGTTTATCAAAGGCACAATTTTGATAATGAATTCGAGGTAGTAAGTTTTTTTTATATCGCGGAGAGACTTTGGTTAGAGGGAAGAGGTTCGATAAATTTTTCATCAAGTTTTCCTTTTCTTCGAAACTTGTCTAACAATTCGCTATTCGTCGTATCTTCAACTCCGCTCAGGACGTTGAATTTTCATTATTAAGAAAAAAAGTACGTTTGATTTATCTTCGAACTTAAGGAAGTAAAATATGCCTGGATCGAAGCTCGATATTCACGAAGCTGAATTATATTTTTCAGAATTGTCAATTTATATTATTTTATATATAAATAACCAGTAACTATTATCCTTAATAAAATTCTAAAAAGAATCAAACTTTCATTTCATATAAATATTAATAATTCATATATATCATATATATATTATTTGTTTGTTGTGTTAATTTAAAATATCCATGAGACGTTGCCCTAAACTTTGTACAATTATTAGCCTTCTTTTGATTTAAAACGTTGATCACGACATATGGCACAGAATTCAGAAACACAGCGCAGCGACTTAAATTACATCGATATCGATCAGCGCTGCAATAATTTCTTCTGATAAAAACAATAATCGTACGTATTGTTTTTGTGTGTATGTGTGTGTGAGTGTGTGTGTGTGTGTGTGAGTGTGTTGTATATAAAAAAGCTAAACGAAAGCCAACGTCGTAAATCACATGAATTCTTTCTCGTTCAGAAGATATAATATTAAAAGGATGACAGACTCGTTGGATGATAAAATTACGATAAAATTTTTTTTTCTTCTTTTCACTCGGATCGATCGGAGAATTTTTTCTAAATGTCAATATAATAGATCTCTCTCTGTATTGTACAGTCGAGCTGCTGGCCACACTTACACACAGACACACAAACATAATCACTCGCCTCGAGCATCTATCTCTTCGGGTCGAGAGCCAGAGCTCGAGGCATTGTTTTCAATATATGTATATTATCGAGGCCACGCGATCGATAAAAACAATTATGCGATTAAGGTGGAAAAGAGACGCTTCGATCTGTGGCACGTACGTATACACACACAATAACTTGCAGAAAAGAGCACATCTATACACACCTATATGCGATTATACTCCGCGATTCGCAACACTGAGTGTAATAATGTTTTTTTTTCTTTTATAACGGACGGCTATCGTGTACGAGGCGCTCAGATCTCGCCACCGACGGCGTACGGACTGGCGGCAGCGGCGTGCCAACCCGCACTGCCCTGATGAAGCTGTTGCTGCTGCGAGGCGGACGACGTCGAGGAGTCGTCCATCTCCGGCGACGAGCTCGAGCCGTAATCGCCCTGACTGCTGATCGTACTCACCGTACTCGTGGCCGCGGCGGCCGCCTCGATCAGGCTGGCGAACAGCTCGGAGCGCGAGAACTTGCCGATCTCCGTGGAGCCGAAGGCCTGCTGGAAGCCCGGCAGGGGCTTGCTGCAGCGGGCCGGTTGTCTCGGTAGCAGCGGCGCTTCCTCGCGCTCGAACAGAGTGTCCGTCGTGCAGGACGAGCTGGAGACCGACGAGGGCCTCGGTGTGCTCCATCGCGGCGCCTCCTCGATCAAGCTGCTGCTGCTGCCGCCGCCGGTTATGCTCGAACAGTATTTCGGAGAGCTGTCGCCGATGCCGCTGCAGCTCAGTTGCAGCTGGGCCAGTGGATTTTTCGACTGTTACGACAATGGATCGTTGGTTGAAAGAAAAAAAATTGAAACGAGGTAAATAATTCGAGACTTTACCTGCGAATCTGCCTGAGGTGGAGTCGCGTGTAGCCGTCGCGCCAACTCGTCCTGCATCTTGGCTTCGAAAGCCGACTGCATCTGTGCGGCGCCGTCGGCGTAGTCCAATTGCCGATGCTGTTGCTGCTGTTGATGCTGATATTGATGCTGTTGCTGCTGGTGATGCTGATGGTACTGCTCTTGAAGATAGAACATGTGCCTGTTGGCGCGAGCGAGTACACTCTGGTTCGGCTCTGTTAGAAAAAAAGTATATACATATCAATAATAATTCATAACGAAAAATGGGAAAAATAATTGAAAGGAGACTCACGATAAGGCATATTACAGAACTGACCCCAGGCTGAGTGAGCGAGAGGTCGCATCGCGTGAGCACCTTGCTGCTGCTGCTGCGCGGCTCTCAGTTGCTGCTGCTGATAGCCGTTTATTTTGGACATTAGCGTGTTTCGCGAGTGATAGGCGTTGTTGTTGTTGTTGTTGCTGGCACCATTCTGGAAAATTCAAACGAATAAGTATATATTTTTAGCCAGCCTGAAGCGAGCTACTTACAAAAAAATATACTTTTTTTTTATTTTTACCTGATAAGGATACCACTTGGAGGATAGATTACCGGGATTATACGAGCAGTAATCCGCCGGAGGGGTCGCTGCTTGGTGTGCCGCCGACGACGACGCATCCAGCGTCACGGGATGATAGTCGACGGCGTAGGCCTGGCCAGGGTAGCAGCCCTGATTCGAGCAGTCTTGCTGCTGCTGCTGCTTTCTCGTGCCATCCTTCGATTTGGCATCGAGAGTCGACGTCCGGTGCTGAGCGATTAATTCACGCATTGTATATAATTTATAAAAATAGAGTAGAGCGCGGGAAAATTCGAAAATGTTACATACCTTTGGCGAGTAAGCGGACTTGGAGGAAGGTTGCGACGAGGCGGCCGCCGCCGCCGCTGGAAACCATGGACCGGATCGATTGATCGCCGCGCCGCTACTACTACCGTTTCCGTTGTTGTGGACCATCAGCGAGGACGTCTGCATCCGTTGCTGCTGCTGCTGCTGCTGCTGCTCGAGCAAACTGCCGCCCAGCGACGAGGGTGAATTATTATTATTATTGTTTGCCGTAGCTGCTGCTGTCGTTGTTGCTGCCGTTGTTGTTGACCGAGTTTGATCGCGCATCGCCTTGCGCAATCGAGCCTCTTTCGGATTGTACACGTAATCTGCAAATTTTGCGTAACGAAGAGTTTCCAACTAATGATATCCAAGTGCGTGCGCATAATTAAATTCCGTTATCAATTGCGAAATGGCAAAATAATTTCAAAGCGAATGAACAATGATATAAATTTAAAGCAAAAAAAAAAACAAAAAAAATATTAGCGCTGACGTTTTCGAGGAAAAAGAGAAGAAAAAAAGGAATGCAACGTTATTTCGAATTCAGATATCGATCGGCATGCGAGGGATGAAGCGGAGCGAGCGCGCGCCTCTCTCAGTCCGTGTGAATGACTTATGGGGCTTCTGCTATGTAGCCTGTGCTACTGCTACTGCTGCTACTGCTGCTGCTATGACAGATAAAATCAATGCCGCAGGTTACTCCGATTCTTTTTTTTTTCTCTCTTTTTTTTCACTACTTTTTTGTCAATGATATTTATACGTAACTATTTGAAATGGCTTTTCTCGAGGATAAATTCGAATCGCGATGGTAATTACTTTAAATATTTTGAAATTTGGATTCTTTCGTTAATAAAAGACATTTTGAGAGTCATACGGTGATTTTCATCCGTGAGAATTCTCCGATTTGAAAATGCGTATCGCACACGGACACATCGCGCGTCTACTCGCTGGAAAGAGATACGGCTTATAATATACGCTCCAAGAGGCCACGTGCTGCTGACGTCACACACACACACACACACACACACACACACACACACACACACACAGGATGTTTTGATGAAAATTAGCGAGCGACGAAGGAGTCGAAAGAAAAGTAGCTCGGTATCAAGATTATCGCACTGATTTTCGTTCTCGTACACACATACGGATAAAAAAGCTGCTGGACAAACATATCGAATAAATAAAAGTCGTAGAGACGAGCAAAAGCGTATGAGGGCGAGCGCGCCCGCTACGGTCAATCCATAATATGCTTATTACACGTTTGCGCAGAAAGTGAACGGAGAGGAGTGCGTGCGAAGGTCAAAAAATAGTGTACACCAAGCGAGAGGGAGAGAAAATAGACGCAGGGTGAAGGAAGAGCCGAGTGCGAGCAAAAAAAAAACAGAGCAAGTATATGCAGAACAAACCGGTTGCGTAGGGCGCAGCGGGACTGGCGTATCTCGGGGCGCAAAGCTCCGCAGACGTCGCAGACGACGACATCGTGGGGTCGTAGGGCGAGTAAGCGGCAGCTTCATAGCAGTACTGCTGCGTACGTTGCAGCTGCTGCTGTTGCTGCTGATTGAATTGATGTTGTTGTAGTTGTTGTTGTTGTTGTTGTTGCTGGGGGTACTGATGCTGCAACGCTTGTTGCTGATTACGCTGATACGTCGGATAGGGCTGAGCTGCTGCTGCTGGATGATGATGATGATGATGATGCTGATGGGAGTAATAGTGCTGCTGGCGCTGGTAAGGCATGTAATTGCAGCAGTCCATGCTGATCGATCCGTTGCGGCGTTAATTGAATCTCGCTCGCTCTCGCGCACCAGCCTATTAAACCTTCGTCTCTCTCTCTCTCTCTGCCTATCTAACTGTTTCTATATCCACTCCTCTTTATCTCTTTTTTATTTTTTTTAATACAGTCGTCTCTGTCTGTGAGTTTTGGCACACGATTGAAAATTTTTTTTAAGGGGGAAGCTCTCTTGAGTTATTTATTTTGTTTTGTTTATCATTTCATTAAGGGAAGACACCGTTGCTGCAGTTGGCCTGTGTATTTTGCTGTGAGGGGGTGAGTGAGAAAAACGGGGCCTCATGCCCGTCTATGCTGCTGCTGCTGCACGACAGTCGTCAGGCTGCAGCCAGCGCGCGAGCTTGCAAGCACGCCGCGGAGCTTTCGGCTGCTGCATGAGCTGCTGCTGGTGCCTATACTACTGCTGATGCTGCTGCTACAGCTGCTGCTGCACGTCAATGTCATGGATGATGATGATGCCTCGTCGAGCAGCAGCAGACGGTTGCCGACGTGGCCTCGTAGCACCGACTCCTTGCCAACCCTCATCGTTTCGAAATTTTTTTTCGTACACTCTCGTCACTGCTCGACGACACGCGGTCTCGACGACACTGCACTACTCACCGGGCCATCGGCCCCTATGCGCCTCATTCATCGATCTCTCCCCCGCACTGTATTCGTCGTAAACACTTAACACTGTACACAATCTCGTGTTTATCATTAAACTTCCTCGTACTATGGCTAAAACGCCTCGCGAGCAGCTCCGAATCGTGTTTGTACTGACTCGAGGCTGCGTCGGCTGCACAATGCGGCCAACTATACGTACCTATGCTTCTCTCTCTTTTTCCATCGGATTCGTACGTACGTACACGCGCGCGCCGCCCGTCGCGAGTGAAAACGCGCGACGACGACGGCGTATAGAGATAGATAGATAGACGACGACGAGTCGAGTTTTTGCGCGTCTGCTGCGACCCGCCGCTACGGCGCATGTCGAGCGCGCTGCAGTCTCACAGCAGAGGGCCGCCAGAGCCCCACCGGACGCGCGAGGGGAGAGGAGTTGGCTGGCTGGCTCTGCGTTCGATTTTCCTCTCCGGCCTGTGTGTGCCTGCCACCCACCCGACCAACCACCCACCTGAGGCAGTAGCAGTAGCAGCAGCGGCTACTGAACGATATACATACACATAGCAGCAGAGCAGCGAGGATTTTTCAACGCTCGTCGTTTGTAAACAGCTCTATCGACTGCATATTATACGCCGCGCGCCGCGCAGTCTTCCTCGTCATATATAGCGGGCGCAGCGGCAGCAGCAGCACTTCCAGCGCCTTTTTTTTTTTTTTTTACACGTACATACATAGACGCGCGCGCAACCTCTATATATATTGCCCGTTTGTGTAGTTCCCAGATGCCTGGGCAATTTTTCTCTCTCTCCGAATTCGGTGGAGAGCTACGCGCGATCGATTCAATTTTCGAACGCGCGCGGCGAGAGAGCTTGCGCAAGCTCCGGTTATGCATGCAGCCGTTGCGGGGAAGCTTGCGGAATTTAAAGAGTCCTTTTTTTGCCGGAAAAAATTTTTTTTTCTCTTTCGGCTTGGCACGTCGATGAAATATACTTCGGGAATTTTTATTCTGTATAACGTTTCGAAGTTTGTACAGTTCGGTACGGCTACAGCACAAGTGGCCTGTAAGTAAGCGGTAAGATCGAGTACAGGTGTACTTTGGTAATTATCGCTTTTCAAAAAAAAATAAAAAAATATCGTGTGGACACACGGCTTCTCTTTTTTTCTCCTCCTTCCTTCTTCTTCTTCTTCTTCTTCTTCTTCTACTTCTTCTTCGAAATGCGAACGCGATCGATACGCGAACTGGCGCGCTTTTGAACGAGCACCCAAGACCACTGTGTAATGCACGTACAGGCGTTACATTTCGAACTGGTTAATATCGTCCGGATTTTATTCGCGATTCTACTAATCGATACCGATCGCCGTGGCATAATAATTTTGATAAGCCATCGCGCGGCGCACCCCCGTGAAATTCGATCCTGATCCTCCACCCTGGTTTAATAATATCTCTTATAAAAATCTCCATGATATTACGCACGTGCGCGTGCTCGCCCATCCATTAGCATAATTACGCGATATATACGAATCGATCGATTCGAAAATTCAAAGAGCCTCGGGCCTCGGGTTGTTATATAGGTGGGTGGGATGGGATGCACACGACGAAGCTGCATAAAGTCGATGTGCGCGCATCGGTGCATATGTCTATATAACACAAGTGGAAATCGGCCAGCGCGAAGCAGCGTCGGCGGCGGAGAGTCAGTGCGGCAACGAGAAATCGATGCGCGTGAAAACGTCGAGACGCGTGTGCACACGTGTGACGAATAGAGCAGCATAGCTAGGCTCCCCTGCATCGTATACGAATAGGTGTGTGCGTCCGTTATATAGGTGTGTAAGCACAGCCAAGCCAGCAGCAGTAGAGACTCGGTGTCGCACTCGCTCGATACTTGGCTCTTGTCGCCGGCAGAGGCTAGCTCTCTCCCTCTTTCTCACTATACTACTGCTACTGCTGCTGCTGGCGCACTGTCAAGCCTTTTTGCACTCGCGACACGAGAGGTCGCGCTGGCAGATTGATCTGCCTCTCTGCTGAGCCTCGGAGCCAGCCGTATAGCCGAGCTTTCTCGCAGCGATATGTATACGCGGCGGCGGCTTGACCCACCGAACGACGACCACGACTCGCAACCAACAACGCCCGCCGCCGACAACCGCTCGATAGCTATTGTACCTATATAGGTATACAGTTTCGATTTATATAGTATATACGTGTAAACAGACAACACGGAGAAATTTTTCGGGTCACGCGCCCTCGGATCAGCCAATGCAGCAGCAACGGAGAGTATTTCCTCGTGCGCAGCGAGCTGGAGAAGAATCGCTTTCGTCCGTTTCTCGAATGGGAAGAAAATTGCTCGGAATCAGGACAGGAAAAGGGAGAGAATGGGAAAAGGATCGAAGGCCGAGAGGCTATTACCGCGTGGGTAGTGCGTGTACAGCCTTTCCATCGATTGACCGCTAATGCAGCCGTCGAGATTCGCTGCTGCTGCATACGAGAGTTTGGAGTTTGGAAAAATCGATATAGGCGACTACGTCGCAGCAGCAGCAGCAGCAGTACACGCGTGCTTGCAAGTCCGATTAGGCAGCGCACAGCGTAGCGAGGCCTCCCTCTTGGTATATATATATAACGCCGAAGAACTACACACGGAGCTTCGCGCGCGCAGCTTTAGCGCCACGTATACTATACACGTATTACAGACCGCCGCCGTGTGAAACGCATACAGAGTGCAGTGCGGCGGTGGTGGAGAGCAGCGGTGCACACGTATACAGACGAGTGCGGAAAAGATACGGATATGCGCGCGCGTGGGTGTCGGGGAGCTTTTACACGTTGTAACATAGCTGCGGAGTGGAGTCGGGTATCGATTGGACACGGACTTGCGAGTGTCGCGCTTACGCGTTATCATTATTATTGTTATATATATATCATTTCCCCGAAGCATCACTCCCCTTTCGTACTACTACTTGGACGCCTGTCTAAGGTTGCTGCGCTGCGCATCCCTTTTCCATCAAAAAGGGAAGAGGAAGTAAAGAGAGGAGAGGCAGCCGTCGATGTAGCGCAGTCGTTGACTTATCGCGGCCGATCATCCGCCGACGACACCGACTGCGACGACTACGACGACGAGATCGCGAACCTCTCTTTTTTCACCCTTTTTGTTCGCGGGCTATACAGAAAAGGGCTTCTACGCAGCAGTCCTCTATATGAATAAATGACAACTGTACGCGCGCATCTCGCATCCGAGAGGAAAAAGATCTTCTTCTCTTTTTCCGTATAGCAGATTCAAGACGACGGAGAGCATGTGTATTCGGAGGGAATTCGGAGATGTATAGGCATAGAGAGATAGGGGATTCAGCTCTCGACGCGAATACGCGCCTGCAATATAGAGAACGCAATCCCTCCTCTTTCCCCCATCTGCCGACCTCGTACATCGTATATATGTATATTATAGCGTCGAGACTACGCACGTGCACGCGAGGCGACTGCAGCTTACGACGAGCGACGATGCGCAGGTACAAAATGTGCGTGTGCTTGGTACACCGGTCGCTAGCTCGCTCGCTAGCGCGCTTATTGATTGCGAAAAGCCAGGCCCGCTCTACACGCTATACAGCCCTTTCCATCTCTCTCTCGCTCTTTTCCTCTCTGTAATGCTGCCTCGAAAGCTCGTTCCGATGTGGTGGAAATTTTTTTCTCTCTCTCTCTCTTCTTTTTTTTTACCTCCACCTCGTTCACTCGCTCGCTCGCTCTCATCGATTATATTGTCTTTTTTTGCAGAGCTCGCCTCGCCTCGGCACGCACATATTATACGTCGATTTATTTTGCGCTTCCGACACGGAGACTCGCACGCGTGCGTGTGTGCTATATCGAACGATATGTATGGAAAAAATGACGTGGGTTCGCACCAACCTGGATACTTTCTTTTGTGCTCGGCGTCGACCTCGCGCGCCAGCCCGAAGTACTTTTCCTTCGACTCTTTCGGCATGTTTTTCCACAGGGCGCCTAGTCTACGACAAAAAAAACGAAAAAAGAGAAGAATGTAGCGCGACGAAGATGACCGAAAAAGATCAATACTTATGAAATGAAACCAAAAAAAAAAAATAATAATCTACCTTACGCTGATGTCTTTGTTGGACTCGCGCGGATTCTGGACGGCGAGCTTCTTGCGCCACTCGTTGGCGAACAGCATGAAGGCGTTGGCGGGCCTGGGGATTTTCGGCTTGTTGACCGAGACGATCTTGCCTTGCTCGGGGCTCGACGACTGCTCCCGATCACTGTTGCCGCCGATTTTCTCTTCCTTGATGCCGCCGACATTATTGATGTTCAGATCCAGAGGTTGTTGCTGATGCTGGTGTTGGTGTTTCGGCTCGATGTGCACGAGCCGACGGCGTAGCTCGTGTTTGTCGTCGTCTATTTCACCGATACTTTTACTCGTCGCCGATCGATGAAGATCGATCGGTTGATCGTTTTCCTTGTCGTTGCTGCTGCCGATCGCTAGCAGACGATGATGCCTCTCGTTCTCGAATCCTTCAGCTGTTGGCAGACACATCGTTTAATTTTTTTATTCATTTTAGCTACTGTTAAATTTAATTCGGTCGTTTAAGAATAATAACCCCCCGATAAAAATTCGAGTCGGTACACGAAACTAAGTAAACTGCCAACGAAATAAATAATCGCACCGAGAGAGTAAAGAGTAAAAAGCTCACATTTTTCAACAAAGCTCACGAGTACTCTGCGCTGTTCCATCGCTTCCTCGCATCTGCCAAGCAAAAAATATAAACAAGAAAGAAAAAGTCGCACGAGTCTTCGCGCGCGCGTGGTTATAACAGTTATAACAGTCGATTATTATTTGTCGTATCGTATTGTCGGATATTGTCGCGGTGCAGCGACAAAGCGAGGCAGGGCCAAAAAAATCTGACTGTCGCGCTCCGAAACACACACACACACAGCGACATCGTTGTCATGTTTATATACAAAAAAACAATAATAGTCCTCGCGCGAAATAGAGGAATATCGGCGTGGTGGCCTGTGCATGTGCATGTGCGTGTGTGCGTAGTGAGCAGCAGCAGCAGCATCCTCGAACGCAATAATGGATATATTGTATTACAAGAACATCGATCCGCTCAGCGTCGATTATTATGGGATTCTGGAGCTGTGCCGCGACTGCGAACCGGAGCACATCAGAAAGGCGTAAGCAGCGCACGAGCTTTCTTCTCTCTGTCTCGATTATAACCTGAAATAATACAATCGGCAGCAGCGGCAGCTTCTGCTACGTCGGCGATCGTCGGTTGTTCGTCGACTATAGCCGCCGACGACGACGGCTCCTCGCGAGAGCTTTGATTGTTATTATTGCGTTTATACTCGAGACAGGCACAAACACGTGCGATTTCCAGCACAGCTGCAGCGTTCGAAGATTGGCGCGCGCTCGTGTTCGCGGCACAGATGGCGCGTCATTTCGCTCATTATTACGTACGATCGAAATCTCATACGCGCGCGAGCTTCGTATACGCGATCGGTTGCTCATATCTACACAATGTGATTAATCGTCGCGTGTACGATCGCGCGGATATACGAGGATGATCGCCGTCGTTGCAGTCAGTCGCGCGGGCATCGACTTGTATCATGCGCGAGTAAACATATAATTAGTGACAGGTGCTCTTGTATTTCGGTGCGCGAACGATGATTCTGTTCGGTGACAGCGACGATCCGCTGCGATCGAACTTGATGCCCGTAATCGTGTTTCTGTTGTTCGTAATTGCCAATTTGCTGCTACGAGAAGACGACGTAGACGACGACCGGGCTCAAGCTCGGTCCGACAAGTATGATTTTTTATTCGTAGCACAAGCAACAAAAAAAAAATTGAAATAAACTCGGAGTGTAATTAATTTTCAACCTCGCGATACAATACAATCTTTCAGCGGGTCTTAACGCGTCAATATTTGCTTATCCGGAGACGCTGGTGTAAAAGTTTGATAATGTATACTTGCGCTCGAATTACGTGGCCTGAAATGTCTTTCTTTTTTTTTTTTTTTGCAGTTTTCGGGTTTGTAAATATTCACCCGCGATGCTACGATTTACTGGCTTTATCTTTTTATATTTTTATAATCTGTAAATTTCCAACAACGACGATATTTTCTTCGTTTCAAATAGTTCCGAGTCACTCTTTTTTTTTCTTATTGCACGATGCAAGTATAAGAAACGACTCGCGGGCATCGATTGTTCATCTTTTTTTTGCGACGATCATTAGCTCGTGATATTTCTTGCCATCGTTCAAAGCGACCTTGAATTACAAGCAGTATAAAACAATCATCATCGTCATCATCAACGTCATGTGCCGTCTGTGTTTCAGCTTTCGTCGGCTGGCCATCAATCTGCATCCGGAGCGCGACCGGGACGCCGACCTATGCAACCTGGACGCGGAGAATCGTCGGGCACTGTTCGCCCTCGTCGCCGAGGCCTACGACGTCCTGTCGAAGCCCGCCTTCAAGAGCGTGTACGACGAGTTGGGCGTCAAGGGCCTGAGGGAGGGCACGACCGACTCGAAGACGGGCAAAAGAGTCAAGCCCTACGTGTATCACGGCGAGCCGCTGAGGACCTACAGGGAGTTCTTCGGCACGGACAATCCCTACGTCGATCTGCTGGATAATTTGAAAGTACCGCACGAGGAGAACACCACCGTGATACCGAAGAGAAAGGCCGAACCGGTCATCGAGATGTTAGAGTTGACTCTCAATGAAGTAATTGACGATGATAGATGTATATTTTAAACGATGTCATTTATGAATGTGTGTATCGCAGCTGTTTTTCGGCGGTATAAAAAAGAAGTGCTACGACGGGAAGATGCTGTCTATTGCAATCATGCCAGGCTTACCGACCGATACGAGGATCGTCTTTCCGGACTTTGTCGATAAAGACCCGTCCATGGAAAATGGTATAAAAAATTTATGCTTCATTCGTACACTCGACACTACTTGACTATTTTTTTCGTAGCCGACTTGATATTCGTGACGAAAGACGAGGTACACGAGACATTCAAGCGAGACGGCTCGGATCTCATCATGAGGGTGCGTATCACCTTGAAGGAGGCCCTGTGCGGTAAAACACTGACCATCAACACCATCGACGATCGCGTACTGCGCATACCCATCACGTCGATCGTAAGGTAAGGTAAGACGATCGACGCGATACCGAAAAATAACGATTCGGCGATGCAGAAAAAATTCACGTCGTCGTTATCATTTTTCCATACCACATCGCAGGCCTCGAGACACCATGACGATCCTGGGCGAGGGCATGCCGCTGGTCGAGGATCCCCGAAGCCGCGGCCATCTCGTGCTCGTCTTCGAGATCGAGTTCCCGGAGACGAATCTGACCCCGGCCAGCCGCGGCTTGATCGCCCGAGCCTTGGACCTGGACCACGAGGCGAGGCGGGCCGAGGAGAGGAGGCAAAAGCCGAGCCTGCGCCGGATGGTGATGGCGGGCAAGGTGTACGAGCGAAAAGAAATCTGCAAGCAGAAAATGAAATACGAGGAATTGGAGGAGTGCGATAAATAAAGATACGACGACGATGTGGTTTTTTTTTACACGCCGGCTGTTTGAATATAGCTTTTTTTTCTTCATAGTCATGATAATTTAGATATTGGCTCGAAAATAGGGATTTTACGGCTAGGAGGTAAGATCGTGGCGCCATCTAGTTGGATCGGTTAGTTAGCGATCTGCCGCTCTCGAGGCTGCCAAGGTAACGACAGAAGCTGTAGGTACAGTTGATAGATTAATAGCCGGCGATGCAGACTTCGGAGCTTCTTCGTCATCCTGTACAAAAATTGAAGTCGATGGTCGAGAGATGTCGGGCCGAGTCGCACACACACGACCGTCTCACCTGTATCGCATACGAATTCTTTCTCTCTCTCTTTTCTCGCTCGCTCGCTCGTGTCGCGTACGTAATAAAAAGCAGTAAAAGCCAGTAAAATCAGACACCAGCGTGCGTCGCGTGAGCGACGAATTATGCGTCGAGTTTAAAGGACGTTTTGCAAGCTAAATTACGTATCCTCCTATTTACACATCTACACTCGCCTATACAAAAATCGTAAATCGTAACGGGCGCATACCGGAGCTAATATACATACATTGAACGCGAGGTGACTGTCACCGAGCTGTCGTGCACTTTCGCAGCTGTATCACACGCGATATAGCCTCGCGAGGCTCTCTATCTCTCTTTGGCTCTTGGCGCGCGTCATATGCTCGCGGTATATCTAGAAGGCGCCGAGAGGCAGCAGCGCGGGGCAATCTGCACGTGACTTTATTTACAAGCGCGGAGAGCACGAGCTCTCTCTCTGTATTATATATATATATCATAGAGTGCAGTTCTGGCGTTGCTGCTGCTGCTGCTGGCTGCAGTTTTGCGGTGGCGCGCGGCGCTGCTCTCTTCGCTTCTCGCTCTCTCGCCTGGCTCGAGTCAGTCAGTCACTCGCTGTTGCTCTCTTAGCTCGCTGTGAGTCCCCTTCTCTCCTTTACATATATTATAAAATAAATCAAGTTCTCGAAGGCGCGAGCAATATACATATCGTATATAAAAAACACAACGAGTCGAGAGGCAGCTATGGCAGCCTAGAGCCGACGCGGTAGAGGTAACGATGACATGTCTTCGTCGCCCTGCAGCACCACGAGTCTCATAGCCAAGTTCTGGGGTGTGAGTAAGCAGCGTCGAGAAGCAGCAGCAGCAGCAGCTACAACGACGACCGATCATTGTCGTCAGCTCAAGCAGCTGATCGCGACTACGACCGCACAGCCCAGTAGCAGCAGCGCTGGTGGTATTGGCAAAGACGCCTTGGTTCTTCAAGCCGATCATGGAGGTAGTAGCGATAGGTGAGCGATAATAACTTTATTATCATAAGACGCGGAAATCGGAGCAGACCCGCACGAAAGCGAGTGCGTGCGTGTGAGTGTGTGTGCGACTCGGAATCGATACCGATCGACCGAATCGCCGAGGACTCGACTTGGCTCGGTTATACCGCAGCAGCAGCTGGCTCGAGGCCCGACCAATCGTCGTTCTCCTTTACAGAGACGACTTGCTTTCCGCAACAACGTGACGTATATCGAGCGAGAGAGAGAAGACAGCTATACACGCTCGCGCGAAACTCTGAATGAACACTTGTGTAAATATGTACTCTCACTATGCCAAGCGGTACATACATACATGTATACACATCGACTACCACCACAGAACCGATACATTGCCGCGAAAGAGAGAGAGAGAGAGTGGAGACGGTTGCGAGCGCTGTGTTGCTGCTGCTATAACTGCGCACGATCTACTGCGCAGCGACGATATCTTTTCGAATTTCATGTACGCTTGAGAGCCGCGTTCGTAAGAGCCCCGAAAACTGTGTTACCCGCTACGAGTGCGTGTTGAGATTTATCATTGCGACCGATCGGAGAGAGAGAGAAGGAAAATACTTGAGCCGATAAGGCGCCTTTGCGGTTGCATCGAGCTAGCATAAATAATAAATAATGATATGAAATGAAATGAAATGAAAAGAAAACAGAGAGACAACTGCACTGTGCAATCGGTAATGTTGATACACACATGACCGCGAAGAAGATTGTGTTTCGAGGGCCCCGCGTCAGTTCGATCACGAGAGCTTTCGAGAGAACGTATATATATATATGCTTTTTCGAGCACAGCTGAGCAGAGCGATAATAATATTTACAAATCATACACTCTCTTTCTTTCTCTCTCTCTCTCTCTCTCTTTGCTGGCTCTATATTTTGGAAAGAGCATCGATGCAGAACGCAATAATAACGGCTTTGTTGTATATACTTGCACGTGTGACGCGCTCGACCCGCGCAACTCGAGCTTTTATCGTTTTAAAAAAATAATAATAATCGTCATCCGTGCATCTCGTTTTATTTTTTCCTGCATCGCCATCGTCGTGCTTGACGAACAACGATGTTTAGGAGTAACGGCCCATCGCAGCAACAGCAGCAGCAGCAGCAGACGGCAGCAGCACCGACGCAGCAGGATCGAGTGCGCATCCTGCTGTTTCGCGAATGCGAGTGGCGCGGCCGCAAGCTCCTCTTCGACTCGGTGGCGCTCGAGAAGAGGCAGCAGCAGCGACGCTGTCCTTGCAACGGCGGCAGCAGCAGCAGCAGCAGTGAAACCGAGGCGAATAACGGCAAGACCAGCAACCACAAAAGCTCCCCGGGACGTCAGCAGCAGCATCGGAAAGCTTCGACGAACGAGGCCGACGCGTCGATCGGCGGACGCGAGGTAATGTATGATGAATTATTACGATTAACGTTTTGCCGCGTGCGTCTTCTCGCGACCTCGTTATATTTATCTAGAGAGAAAGAGATTAAAAACTGACACTCGATGTATACGTTGCGCGTTGCAGAATGGAAAGCTGCTGAGCGAAGACATCAGTCTTCTCGGAGAAATGATATTCGGCTCGGTGGCCATGACTTATCGGGGAACTTCCTTCAAGGTATGTGCACATTGCTCTCTTGGCCCTTTCTTAAAGTCCCCCTATTTAATACGCATCGTTTTCCCCAGATTCACGAGATGAAGTCGTCCGGCTGCATACTCTGCACAAAGGTCTTTCCCTTCACGGAGCACACGATTTGCAAGCAGAGGTAATCCATCGATTTGCTCATTATTTTCCTTCTAATAATTACATTGAAAAACAGCAGCAACAATCGCCAATCGAACGAGACCCTGTCGACTGCGATGACGAACAACGAGGCCAATTCCAGCAACTCGAGCTTGCGAACGTGTAAGTGCGCGATACGCGCGATCTTCGCTCCGCTATAGAGATTTCATTTTTCTCTTTCTCTTTCGCAGCCTCGTCGGCGACGATGTCCAGGCCCGACTCGCTCAACGTCTCCTGGAACAGTCTCAGTCCGCCGGCAACCCGCAACGACTCGTACTGCTCGAGCACCGGCAGCGGCTGGGACATCGAGGTCCCGCCCTTCGGCGGCTCGTCTCACTCCCTCGACGGAAGCAACGGAAGCAGTGGAAGCAACAGCAGCAGCAGCGTCGGGGGCAGCCTCACGAGTCTGCGTCGCCGTTGGCAGCGAGTCCTCGGCGCGTCGCTCAGCCGATCCGAGTCCGAGGACTTTTTCGGCGCCAGTCAGCAGTCGAGTTTCGACAATAGTAACGGTGCTTGTGGTGGTGAACAGCATCGAAGACACAAGACCAGGCTCGGTCTGGCCATGCTCATACAATTGCCCGGAGGACACGAACGGTTCGTTTCCGCTATACTCGCTTACTCACTCGCTTACTTTTTTTTTTATCGAGTGTTTATATCTCGGGGAGTCACGTGTCGGATCACGAGGAAAAAGGGGTCGTCGACGCGCGTAAGCACACAACGCACACACACGACTCACGGCTCATTGATCAATTTATAAACGGCAGCGTAAATAATGCACGATACGAGGAAAACTACTTTCTCGCTCTTTCTCAAATTAAATCACGATTTTTTTTTCTTTTTGACGAATCGGTCATTATATTATATACGACATTATGCGCCGCAAAACAACGAGATAGATTGTTCGTCATCACGTGAGAGCGCATCGCACAAGAGAGCTTTCGATATCGAGCACGCGCGGCCACGCGGATTATTATTCAATGCCTCGATTGTGCCGCTACTATATATATACCGTGCCGGTCATGCGAGCGCACGAAAAACACCGATTAAATCTAGAAGAACGCATTATCGTTATCCAACGTATATTTGAGTTTGCAATTTTCTGAATATGCGCGCAAACACATCCGAGATACAACGTTAACTCCGATTTTTATCGACGTGAAAAATTTTGCAGGGCGATCAGCGACCGTCTCATGGAGCACGCGGCTCTGCTCGAGGGCAGCCTCGACTGTCTGAGGCACGCCTGCGTCGAGGGCCACGGGCCCGGCCTCGTCGGTCGACTCTATCGAAGCTCCCATCAGAGCTGCTGTACCTTGAAGCTGCTGCGACGCCTCCTCGATCCTCGGGACGGTGGCCAGCAGAGGATCGCGACGTTGCCGCTGCTCTGGCACGAGCTGCTGCTGAACTCGTCGATGCCGGCCGATCTGCAGAGCATCGCGCTGAGGCAGAGTCTGCAGAGAATGTCGAGGCTGCTCGACGAGCTGGACACGAAATCGACCAATTTGTGAGTCTTTGTGTCGCGCGAAGATCGAAATTTTGGATTCTAATATTTACGTGCGTTTATTATACTTGGCAGCTTTCTGAGCACGATCGTCACGGCGGTACTCACGCATCACCTGGGCTGGGTGCACACGGCGCCACCGCAGCACAATCGCAAACTGTTGGAGAGCCTCAGCCAGCAGTACTCGTGCAATCCGCTCTGGGCCCAGCTCAACGATCTGTACGGCGCCATCGGCACGCCGGCCCGCATCTCGCACACGGTCATAGCCAGCGGCCAGGCGGACAAGTGCGGCCTCGTCGACTCGATCCTCAACTTTCTCTCGTACTTCTTGCGCAGCGGCTTGGTGGAGAAGCGCGAGGAGAGCCGCTGCAGCGCCCAGGAGGACGTGCAGGAGGCCTGCGCCATTCTCGAGCGCAATCTGCGCAACAATCCGCTGCTACAGGAGCAGCAGCGACGATCCGTTAGACAGCAGCAGCAGCAGATGTCGTGCGCTGCTTCGACCAGTAGCGGTAGCAGTAGTTACAAAAGGGTGACGCCCCAGATGAGGGCGAGAAATCAGCACCTGGAAGAGGACGAGGACGAGGTGGATTTCTCGAGCGTCGTCAAGGATAACAAGCTCGAAATCGTCAACAAACCCGAAGTCTCCGCCGTTAACAACAATAACACCAACAACAACAACAACAACAACAAGAGGATGATGCTGAAACGCAGCGGGACGATACATGAAAGCATCGATACCTACGAAGGCAGTAGCAGCACTACCACCACCACTGCCACTACCAGATTCGAGAAGAGCGACTACGAGGTCGGCGTGAGAGAACTGGAGGACGAGGACGAGGACAGTGAAAAGCCATCGAGTCAGGTGAAGATCATCGTCAGCAACGAGGACGAGAGGGGGGGAGACGAGGTGAGAAAGGCCAGCCCAGTGCTGGCGGGTAGTCACATGGCGCAACAGGATGATAAATTGTCGGAATTGGAGCCGAAAGCTACCAAGACTGCTACTACTACTACTACTGCTGCCGCTGTTACTGCTGGGCTTAGACGGCAGAAGCTGATGTTCGAGAGTCTCGAGTCTCACTCAAAAGCTTTGTAAGTTCGACCAGATATTTTGATTTAACCATATTTATTTCGCCCAGGCACCGCAAGGGCCGAAGGGCTCAAAGAAGCCTACATAGAAATTTACAAATTTACAATTTTGATGGGTTTCGAAATTCTTATAGATTAGACTAAACTAAACATAAACATAAACATAAAGAAGGTGAAGAAATGAAGAAGAGATGAACTAAGTGAGGTCGCTGTTCTTATTTTTGTTCAGTTTTGAATTAATTTTTTACATAAGATCCAAACTTGATACCTATACTTTTTAAATTATATCGAGCAAAAATAGGGACGGAGACCTTGTATCATATTTTGTCACTCGAGTACACCTTATCTATATTTTGTCGTTTTGTGTGCGCAGCGACGAGCAGTCGTCCCTCTTCTTCCCACCGAGCCTGGGCGACGACTTGGCCAGCAAGGCGCAATCCCAACCCACCCAGGTCTACTTCACCCTCGGCGACGTCGACGAGAAACCCTCCTCCACCACGCCTCAGCAGATGACGATACGCGAGCGTCTCCAGTCGTCGCGCAAGTGTCGCTGCTCGTACACGTTCAGCCGGGTGCCGAGCACCTCGGCCGAGCTCCCGGAGGGCATACTGCGCAAAATCCTGCAGCGCAACTTTCCCGAGTCGTCGAAGAACATGGAGCCGGCCGGGGCTCAGACCGGAGCGGCCCAGGGCAGCGAGTTCTGCCTCAAGTGCCATCGGGGCTTCGATCGGGAACAGCTGCGGGAGCAGAGCCAGGAGCAGGGCAGATTCGAGAACGGCAAGCTGCTGCTCGAGACGCCGACCAATGCCACGGAGCTGCTGCGAGGCTGCGGCAACTCGTCCAGGTCGAGGATCACGCGCTCGAATAGCCTCGAGGCGCTCATAGAGGCCAGTTGCATAATCGAACTGCCGATGCCGAGGTCCAAGAAAGTACCGGCTCAGGTTAAAAAAGGGCCCAGCGAGCGCACGGGCTTCACCACGAGTCTCATGGGCAATTGGGCTCCGTCGACCAATACCACCGACGCGGCGACCAATTCCGATTACACCTGGGGCATGGTAGCTCAGGGTTTTACCAAAAAACAGCAGCAGCAATCGAAAACCGATAACGATAAAAAAGAGTCATCCTCGCCCGATTACAAGGAGAAGGAGTGGTGGTGGTCGATCCGCGAGGGTCTCAGGGTCGAGGTCACCTGTCCCATCGTCGATCAGCCCGTGTCCGAGGCCCTCTGCATCCTCGGCGATCTGGACAACTGGCAGGTCGGCGTGCTCTCCAACAGCTCGAGCAGCGGCGGCCTGCCCATACCCGTCGGCATGTCCAAGCTGGTCTCGAACATGCTCGAGGCCTTCGGCTACGTGTGGAAGGAGTCGCACTCGCCGGAGCAGGTACGATACAACAGAGTCCGAGTTTTTGATATCGTTGACTGAATTTTTTCCTTCTTTATCGCAGTGCATAAAGTTACTGGAGAGCCGTCTGCGCGAGATGTGGTTGCGCAGCGAGACCCTGGCCGAGTTTCTGCTGGGCGCCGACGAGACAGACGCCAAGGTCGAGAACCTGACGAATTTCCTCGACATCGACGCTGCGGATCTGCCGCTGCTGCTGGCCGTGGCGACGACTCACACGCCCCAGATCGCCCAACGATTCGGCCTCACGCTATTTTGAGGCGAAACGAAATTTCCACCGACGCGCGAGAGTTCATATAGTCATTGTCGTTGTAGATCAATTAATTTCTTTTCTGTTATTTTGTTCTTTTTTACAGCGAATCACATTGTACATATTTATAAGAAAAAAAAGTCTTTATTTTCACTGCATGTTTGTGTGTGTCTGAGTCCTGGTGACTGTAAAAATACGTGTAAATAATAACAGAGCGTCGTTTATATAAAAAAAAAAGTTATGTTTGTTTGTTGGTTTTTTTTTTTGGAGAGCCACGCTCTGCCACTGTACAGGAAACAGTAAAAAATTTGTATAACGCCAGACGTTGTTAATTGTCGCGCTAATTCTTGCGTCAGATATCGTCTCTGCGAATGTTAAGAAAAATAATATTTACTTTAAATAAAAATCAAAGTTTTTTGTCAATCGAAATTTTTGTCTTATTATATTTTCCGACGCCATTTAATCGCGCTAAATCATACAAGTTCGGCTATTATCGAATGATTCATTTTTGCCAAACTAAAAAGCTTGGGTACAGTAATGAATGTCAATTAGCGTCGACACGTAATAACACACATATATATTCCTTTGTGCGTGTGTATGTATGTGCGTATACAATTTGGCTTTGTCCATTTTGCTTGATACAACAAAGCTCCCCGCGCGCAGCCCATTAAAAGATTGCAATTGAATTTTATGACGAGAAATCTTGAAAAGTTTATGGCCACGATATTAAGTAATTAGTAACTGTCGTAAACTTTTCTCTCTATCTCCGTGCGTTGTTCGATCCGAGAGATGCCTTTTAAACAACTGTTCCTCTTTCAATACAATGAGAAAATGTGAACGGACTTTCACTGCGCACCGGTGATCGATTAATTATGAACGCGCGCGTATAAAAATATTTGCATAGCATAAAATTTATATCTCCGCGTCTCGATCTATCTCCTCCGAAAGCTCATTAGAACTTTTCGAATCGCAAATTGCATCCGTCTAATTATCTACTGTTATATAAGTCCCCCCCCCCCCCCGTACANCCCCCCCCCCTGTACATATCGGCCGTCGTGTGTGTATATACTCTTCCTGTTGTACCCGCGTTCGGTTCGTTTGTTTTCGCGTGTTTGTTTTGCGCTAACCTTCCTTACAAAATTCAGAAGTCGGATGTACTGAAAATCTTCCGCGGAGCTCTCTCTGCGTGTCTCGCGTAGCCCAAAATTTCGAAGTTATCGCGTGCTTCCAAAATTTGACGTTTTTTTCCCCCTTCATTTCTCAACGCCATGGAAATCTGTAACGATCAACCGTGAGTGAAGTTCTCGACGCGAGAAAATTAAAATAATATTCATCGCGTTTGATTAATTTTGTTCTGTGTTCGCAGGCGACCGCGTCCCCAACTGACCTCGGTCATCGAAATCAAAAATAAGATACGAGTAAGCGTGCGCCTCGTCTCGTTAGAGAGTCGATTATCGAGACTTTTTTCTTGTATATTTCATCGTTTTTTTTTCGTATAGGCGGGCCACTCGGAGTGCTGCAATTGCTGCTGTTGCAGCAAGCCGGTCCAGTACAAAGCCTACGTAAGCGAGACGATCCCAAGGAATTTCGCAAAATTCTCCAAAACTATATAAAATAAAAAACGCAATAAAAAATAAATTTTATTTTTTAACAGAAATACATTCAGCCGCCGATTCCGAAATCGTTTCGACCCGTTCGGGCAAGTTTATTATCTCTTTAACGTGAATTTTTTTAAGCATTTAAACGGTGAATATCTAAATCGCGATCATTTATACAGAAATACGTGAAAGAAGATGTGCCCTTGGAAAACTCGACCACCTACAAGCTGTCCTTCTGGCCGAATCCGACCAAGATGGTCAAGCCCATTCTTCCTCAGGGCAATCTGACATTCTCCACCTGTCCCATAACCGACGACACCACCCACAAGATGAGCTACATGGGCAACTGGGGCATTGAGCCACAGAAGAAGCTCGAGCCCTGCCGTCGTAACTGGTTCGGCCGTGGCCCGCTGCTCGACGTCACCACGCAAAAGCACGACTTCGTGTGGAAGGCCTCGACCAAAGCCGACCCGATCAAGTATCCGGGCCAGCTGTGCATACCCCGTGGTCACGTGGCGGACGCCACCACCTACAAGCTGAGCTTCTACGAGTCGAACAACGTCGAGCCCATACCGTCGTACAGGCCGGTGCGTGAGTACGTACCCACCGAGGCGCCCCTGGAGGAGTGCACCACCTACAGGTTGAGCTATCACAACGGCGAGCTGCCGGAGAAGGAGCTCTACCCGTGGAAGCCCGACGGCAAGTATAAGAGGCCGGTGGAGGCGCTCGACGATCACACCACCTACAAGCTGAGCTTCTGGCCGCACGGCAACGTCGAGAGGCGCGAGCCGATCAAGCACCAGGGCTCGGGCGACCCCATCAACAAGGACGACCCGATCGAGTGCAACACCACCTACAATCTGAGCTACTTCGCCGGGGCGGCGGGTGACATGCCGGCGCCGATTCTGCCCAGAGGCAACATCGAGTTCGTCGACTGTCCCCTGTCGCACGACACCATCAACAAGATGAGTTATCTGGGCAATTGGGAGCCAAAACCCGAGAAGCCCATAGTCCAGTGCACGAGGCAGCTGCTGGGCAGGGGCCCGATCGAGTCGTGCACCACGCAGAAGGACGACTTCGGCTGGAAGTGCAGCGAGAGAGTCGAGCCGATACCGCCCAGGGGCAATCTCGACTTTTCCACGGCGCCGATCGAAGGTAAGAAGAAGAAATTATAATAATATACAATGGCGATGAGTCGCATCGCGCTGCGTCTTGCGTCAAGATGCATCTCGATACGTATATAGTTGCATCATGTATTCGTTGGCGCGGGCGGAGAATCGCAACAATGACGACGACGACGAGAGACTTTCTCGACGTTATTGTGCATAATTGGCTTCGTTTTTTTCCTTTTTCTTCTAGACCTCACGACCAATCAGTTGTCGTACATGCCCACCTGTCCGGAGTCGTTGACCCCGACCGAGTCCTTCAGGCCGGTTAGACAGTACGAGCCGACGGACATGCCGATGGCCTGCGACACGACGATGCAGATCAGCTATCAGCCACCGGAGCAGGACGAGCTCGACAGGCAGGAGAGACCCTGGGCTACCAAGCCGGCTTATCATCATCCCACTACGCCTATCGACGAGAATACCACATACAATATGAGGTATGAAATTAATTGCTATTCAATTTTTACGATTTTGTATCGCCCGATTCGCAATTTAGTTACAATCCACCGGGTTTGCTGATACCGGTCTCGGAGTGCTGTGAGGAGGAGGCGGCTGCGGCGGCCGCGCAAAACAGTTCTAATCCATGCTCCAGTGAGTTAATCGAGTCTATCGAACGATCAAAAAAATTAACGATATCCAAGTAACTGAATTTTCTCGTACACAGTGTCGGTCTGTCCTCGCGCTGCCATTCAAGAATCCAGGCCCTGCATATGTAAGTAAAAAAAAAATCCTCGAAAGAATCCCTTTGTGTGTGCTCAATCGATGTCTTCACTCCTAGCTTGCTGACGACGACGACGAACGACGACGACTCGGAGCTTTGCATTCCTCGGCCATTATTCAATCGAAGAATCTCCTTTTCGAAGCCACACATATACGACCTTTCACTTGCGACACTTTTTTGACGTGTGCGCTCAAGTATATTCTGCGCGTGAAAAATTATACCGTCGAGATTGTTGCGTCTTTATACTCCGTCCCTCCCGTGTCTCTCTTTTTGTTCCCGTGTGCGATACGTGTTTTGTTGTGTTGTTTTGTATATAATTTGTTTTGACCTTCGTTAAATACATGTTGCTTGTCGCGTCTTTTTTGCCAAAAACTAGATCAACTGGATCAATGGTATTTTTACCTAGACTCGTGTCAGGATATTGATATGCATATTACATTTATGATTTATCGACGCTTTTACAGAGAGGCTTCTTCTTTTTGAGCGTCGAGAGCTCTACGATTGCGAAAGGAAGACTCGAAAAAATATTATTGACCATCGATCGAGTGCCGAAAACGTGATTTTTCTTCGAGTATCGGTACACTCGAAATCGGTAGTTAATGATACTCGAAAAATCTCGAAGAGAGAAATTGAGATTTGCCCGTCGTCGAGTAGCTCATTTGAAACGAACGGATTGCGCAACTCGGAGGTATGGTATTATAAGCCGATCGACGTAGCCGTAGGTTGATTGAACGATCGATCGGTCAGTATACAGTCGGAGGCACCAATTTTGCAATTGGAGTACGTCGCTCTCTTCGGGGGAAAAAAACAACAAAATTTCTCGTTCGTAATTGAAATTCGAAGATCGAGCACTCGAAACGAGTATATTCATCCATCTACGATGTGCCTCGAGCGATTTTTTGTGGATTGTATATTTACAAAACGATGCTGCTCCCAGTATAATCGCCTTACGTACGTACGTAATTAAGCGACGATGCCGATTTTGATCTAGAGATGGAAAGTTCAATTGAAAAAGAAACAAAAAAACAAAAACAACGCTCGAAAGCCATTTCTTTTGCAAAACTTTCGATGTTCGCAAGATGCCTCGGATTCAATTAAATATAGTTTCTCCGATCGTCTTCCAGCGAATCACGCGCGGCGTTATTTTTTGGCCCGTGCGCAGAAAAGCGGCCGACCTTCTAGGGGGCGAGAGCCCAGCGGCAGCGCGAGACGAATGCATCGCGAGCAGAAAGGACCTCGATCGTGGCGATGCCGAAGACGACGTCGACCTTTTTCCCAAGGAGAAAAGAGGCGAAGGACGACTCGCGAAATATGTTTTTTTTTTTTTTTAATGGCACGTATTCATCGGGTGGAAAGAATCGCGTGGCGGCTGAAATTACGCGGCGGCCGAAACGATGAGCCGCAGAGGTAATGCACCAGGATGGGATCCAGGCAAGGAAGAGGCGGGGAGGCCTTCGCACACACACTCACACTCACTATGTGTGTATAATATGAGTTATATATTCGCCACGGTATGTACAAATCGGTGGGGGACTAAATGTGTGTGTGTATAACCAGCCAAAGTGAGAGCTCGCGGTGGCGAGGTTCTAGCTCGTGCGAATGTGTACATCTCTCTCTCTCATCCTCCTCTTCTTCGGCAAGCTCGTATGTGTGTGTGTATACAGTATATACTACTCCTCCCGCCGCCGCCGCCGCCGATCTTCTCGCTTGCTCTCCTTTTCCTGCTGCTGGCTAGATAAAGTCGTCGCGCCTCGCAGCCGTTCATTCACATCTCGTCGCATCACCGTCGAGTTCGCATCGACGTACATATTACACGAGGCAGAGAGGATAGCACAGATCATCATGCTGAAGACGGCGGTAAGTTATAACGCAGCTTCTAAAATATGTATATTTCGTTCGTACCGATTTCTTACCGATCGCTCTTTACGATTGGCCGATTTTTCCATTCTGTGGTGTGTGATTAGAGTTTGCTATATAACTACATTAGACAAGGAGGAGGGAATAAAATTTAGTCCAGGGCTCCGTGGGTTTCGCAATTATAAGCTCTTCTCTCTCGCGGTTATCGTCGAGCGTTGCGGTTGCGGTGCAAAGTGCAACAACTCGTGTGTACTATGCGTGTACCCTCTATACGTGGTAGGATCGACTCGACGCATAGAGAGTAATCTTCGTAACCTAATTTACATTTCACCGCCGCGGCCGCCGCGTGTAATTATCGGCCGCAATTTCCCAACGTACACACGGCATTAAATAGACGAATAAATCTCGCTCAAAGTTCGAGGCGGTGGCAGCAGGGCTCAAGGGAGTTACCGGAGTATAGTACGAAGCAAAGAGCTCGAACGCACATAACGTAAGTATAGCAGCGCGAAAGAGAGAAGGACGGGTTAGCAGGTCAGGAGTTAAACGACCGGCGCAGTTTTCACTTTCACTATGTGTACTGTAATGCACACACACGCGCAGCTGCTGCGGGAGGATCAGGCGGCGGTGGCTGCTCTCCTCCTCGCGCTTACTTGTATACTTGCATTATATGTGTGCGATCGCCGCGCTCGAGGGCGTAATTATATCTCGTTGACGCCCGTTTTGCGCCGATCTACGTGCACGTTTATTAAGTATTATAAAGTATTTGGCGCGCGCACGCGATATTAACTTATTCGGGCTTTTCTTGAGAAATTCATTCGAGTACTGTGGGCGTATTAGCGGTGTGTTATAATACACATACAACGAGTCGCGCTTTTATACGTACATTATTATGAAAGAGAAACGAGATTATTGCGAGATGCGTTTGGTCATTATGTATCTCTCTCAGCTCTCAGCGACGTCTGTATGTATTTGCGCGCGCGCGTATATATAATACGCGCGGGAAAATCATTAATCTCTTTCACGTGAGCCTTAGTGCCATGGTATATATATTCACCTATATGACCACATCGCAAGGCTTATATTTGAATTGAATATATACGATGTATACGCGAGCTTGGGTTAGAAGTGGCGCGTTGTCTGTCTGTGTGCGTGTGCGATACCTCAATAGCTTTTCGCCGTCGATGGGAATGGTTCGAGGCTCGGAACAGGCGCAGAAACAGCAGGGGAAGCTTATTCTTTTTTTTTTTTTTATAATAACGTAAAGGATGCATTAGTAAACTACTTCATAACTATTAAGTTACTTCGGTGCTTGCGAGTCTTAAATCACAACAGCTCTCTGATACTCACTGCGCGTGTTGACATTTTTGGCGACGTGCGACTCGTAGCGGCCGATCGGTCTACTACTGCATCTCGTTCGATTGTTATTATTGTCTCGCCGTTTATTTAAGCTTGTACGTGCGTGCGAGTGGGGCTCGAGTAATTCGACTCTGACAATCGAAGTAAATTTAAAAAACTATTCATTCGCTATGCTTGAAAAAAATAACCGGCCAATTGTTGAAATATCCATCCCGATTCTAGTGATGGTGATTTTTGCTGTTGGTTGTTTTTTTTTTGTTCAATCAGCGATGATATGTGTATAATCAACCACGCGGTCCGGGCTTAGAAAGTTTTAGTTTCACACCAGACACGTATGTATAATATAATTTTGCGTATGTGTGTGCATGTGCGAGTATATCATACGCTCATTACAAATATTATGCTTATTAGTCCCCTTCGCATATATGCAAGAAATTTCTCACACGATCGTTTCAAAAGTGAAATTTTTGCACCGATCGGTACAAGGAGAAGATTTCTCAGCGGCGCAAATCCGCGACGTCGAACGCGTACGGCTAATCCTTGCCACTATGCGCGAGTGGCGTAATCGCGATTCGCGATCGAGCTTACGTATGAGATGAAATTTTTTTCTAATTTTTCAATTCGTCGATACACGCAGATATTGGCTGTGATGGTGGGTATGGTCGTGGCCCAGGACGCCCACCGTGGACGCTTCTACAACCCCAACGTCCACCACCAACAGCAGCAGCAACTGCAACAACGTCAGTACCCGCAACAGGCTGCCAATCATCAGTACCAAGCTCAGGCTCCTCAACAACAGCCACAACAACAGCAACAGGCCCAACAAGAGCAAAGACAGTATCAAGCTGCCCCGGCTCAGATCAACGAGGAGAGAAGAGTCAGCACCACACCCATCCCAATTTTGCAGTGGAACAAACAGCAAGAACACGACGGCACCTACAGAACTAAGTGAGTCTTTGATTGCGCGAACGAATTTTGTAAGATCGTCTTAGATTTAAGACGAACCCGTGTAACTGGTGTTGCATCACCCGCGATTAATAGAGTTCGAGTGTTTCTGTGCGAGAAGCTTATAACGTAGCTGACCGGTACACGTCCTTGCATAAATTTGAAAGACGCGACGCTGCGCTGCGTTGCCCAACTCTCTCTCAAAGACACTCGAAAGTCTCTTCTTTATAATCGTCGTATATACACGCACAAACGAGGTCGTTACGAATATAATCGGTCCGAATTACTCGCAGTTACGAAACCGGCAACAACATCATCGCCGAGGAGCAGGGCTACATCAAGCAGGTGGGCGAGGGTGAGGACCGCGCCGACGCACTGGTGCAGCAGGGCAGCTACTCGTACACCAGCCCCGAGGGCCAGATCATCACTGTGCACTACACCGCCGATGAGACGGGCTTCCACGCGCATGGAGATCACATTCCCACCCCACCTCCGGTGAGCGAGGAGATCCAGAAGGGTCTGGACCTCATCTACGCCGGTATCAGGCAGCAACAGGTGGGACTATAATACCTTTTTATTTCGATCGAAACTTTGTGATTTTTTGGATTATAATAACATTGTGAATTTTGACGTATATTAGGAAGCCGCGGCCCGCGAAGCCGCCCTGAACCCCAACCAACAGCAGCAGCAACAGAAATTCGACGACCACAGCGGCAGATATCGTCCTTAGACTTTCGCGAATCATCGACTGCGACGAGATCATCCATCCTGTGACTTTGCGTTGTGACGATAACGACGACAATTTGTAAAATATCGATTATTTTTTTACATGTAACCCGTCAAATGTGCATTTTTTTTGTATCGTAGACTCATTTTTTTTTAATCGTACGTAATAATAAGCGTTCGAGCGGCTCGTATCGCTCCACACACTTCTCTCTTTTTACCATATAATTATTAATAAGTAATAATTATAATTATTAAAGCGAAACATCGATTGTTTTCTATATACAAAAGCTTGTTTGTATTTTCATTGCGTCTACGCGTATACCCCCTTGATATTCATCAAAATTATTTTTTGCAAAATTGCTTTTCCGTCAACGATCGTCGACAGGCCATAATTTGTAGTAGATGTGTATAAATTCGATTCTTGTCAGCGAACGTACACATCATTATAGAATCCGTAATAAGGTCACGAGCTGCAACAAGGAAAAAAAGTGAAATCTCCTCCATCTCGGCTCGTTATAATAAAAGTCAAGTGTATATTCGTTTGATTGAGTCTTGCGACGTGATGTTTTTATTTTTATTTTTATTTACCGACTATATTTACAATTGAAATCGGAAGTCGAGATCGGTATATGCGTATTATTATTACGAGGGGCGAGGCAGCCCTGCAGCCAGAGTGCGTTCGTATTTCTGGCAATAATATATGTACGAGGGGACGGCGTTACAATCTAAAAGAAAAGCTGCCACAATAATTAATCTATACAAGCGCGGAGCAACAAAAAAAAAATCGGCTGGGTCGTACGTCTCGAGCGCACTGTGACCGCCAAGGCTGCGTTGCGCATAAACCGACCTCAACTTCGCGCTACTATTTTTTTATTATAAATTAAACTACTAGTATTCGGCTTAAAAACTGCGCTCGTCGTCTCTCTTTCTTCCATCTAATAAACAAATTGATTTTTTTTTCAATAATAATAATCCTAAGGTGTGCACTCGTTAAAGAGAGCGTCTACTGCCGTATATATAATTAAATACACATAATTATAAATATAAAATAATGAAACGCGCGCTTCGTTCGCCGGGACATTTTTTCAGGCCTCTCTCGTCGTATTATGTATTTATATAAAAGAGTTTCACTCGCTTACTGCGCCCGGAAAACTCGCTTCCGATCGCGCAGCGGCCGAGGCGCACAAAAAAATGGTCGCGAAGGAAAAGCAGCAGCTAGCTAGACTATTATAATATCTATGTAAGCAGCGGAGATTAAGTAAAAATTAGTTATTATATACTACTACTAAAGCGAGCGGACGTGTCGCTCGTTGTTTGCTTCTTATAATTTTTTTTGTTATCGTCTTAAACAACTATCATAGGCGCACAGCTCCGTCCGTACAGACACACACACACACACACATACACACACACACACATACGCAGAGTCACTTTACACTAGACTGCGCGCCTATGTACGTGTGTTGTTCCTCGCTTCGTTAATTCAATTTTACGAGTTTAACAAGTAGTTGCTGAAGCTATACACTATAGAGATATATTTATATTTATAATGCGTGTTCTTTTTACGAGTTTTCACTGGCACTTGGTTAGCTTTTCAGCAGACAGAGACGGGCACGCAACGGGTAGACGTTCATCGCTCGGATTCGGAAGTCATTAATGCAGTTGTTGGTTTGTTGTTTCTTTCTTTTTTTTTTCGCGACTTTTTCCAATGCACAAACGGATGTGCGCATAGAGCGCTCTAGAACGATTTCCAAATGAATTTAAGTGTAAAATTTATGTACGGACAAAATACATCGTTACTCTCGCGGCGTTCGCACGTACTTCGAATCGAGATTTCGAAAATTAGCTTATGGGATACTTTTTTTTTCTCTCCTCTAATTATTTTGATGGGCGTTTTCCACGTGGTATTTTTTTTTCTTTTTTAACGACTCGCGTTTGTGCGTTTGATCGGTCCTTTCTCCGATTTTGTGCACGCGATGATATCGCGATCGGATGTATAGTTTCGAGGAAATTTTTTTTTCCTTTTCATAATTTGTTTTTGCGCATGCAGAATAGCCGCCCATCAAAATGGCAATAAAAAATCGGAGGAATCAACGCGCGCGAGACCATTAGAAAGTCCGACACATCCATCGTAATAAAAACAAAAAAAAAATACATATAACATTCCGCTCGACGGACATTGCACACACGTATACAACACGCCAATTCCTCATACGTCTTTTGTACACAGAGAAGAAATATTTACGATGCGCGCACACTTTTGCACGTACCCAGTAGTCGATCGAGCGATGAAAATCTCCCACTCATACACACACACTTGCACACACACATTCACACTCGTACACATATTACAGGTACATACAAAAATACAATGTCTCAATGTATTACTATCATAACTTCTCACGACTGTACGGCGCAAACAATCACTTGTGACTCCTTTCTTTTTTTCCTCTCAGTGGCCGATAAAAGGAGAGTGAAATTCAGCCGCAGATTTTTGGGGCGCTTGTCGAGTTATTATATCGCACACAAAAGTGGACACGAGCTTTTTTTTGAAAGTACAACAATTAACAAGTCGATTGCATCGAGTCTTGAGCTCGATCGAGTTCGCACGCAGGCGAATCGACAATTGTAAACTCATAGGCACTAATTGCAATTATTTCTCCCTTCATTCATCCGCTCGTTTACGAATGGCAACTTTGGCTGTGCCCAACGATTTCGTTAATTATGGCAAGATTTTGTACACACACCCACACACACGCGAGTTCATACATAGACAGATCCGATCCGATCGCTCAGTCTATCGCCTGTTCGGCGGCGATGGGCTGGGGATCGTAGGGCTGAGCGTCGTGTCCCACGTAACGATTGTTTTTCCGATGCTGAAAGCCGTTCTGACCGTCGGCCTTGTAGTAGACGACTCGGCGTATGCCGAACGGATCGACGTAGCCGTAGGAGCCGACCGCCTTGTCGGGACTCTGTCGCTCCTCCTCATGGTACTGCTTCTTCAGGTAATACTGGAAGCCGTTATTATTGTTGTTGTTGCTGGTGATCTCGGCGCTGCTGGCGACTCCGTCGTAGCTGGGGAACTCGTACTCTCGGACGGCGACCGGAGCAGCGGTGGTGGTGGTAGTAGTCGTCGTCGTCGACGTGGATTGACGACTGTTGTAAAACGACGGCCGCCTCGATCTCGATCTGTAAGAATTGTTATTGGACGACGAAGCGGGCCTGTTGTAATTGACGGTGTCGCTGCGCGAGCTCATCGTCGCGTTGTAGCGTCGGTGTCCCCTGCAAAAAAAATGCAACATAAGCACGAATAAATATACGTCAAGGATGAAAATTTATCCGGCTCGCTCTGTAGCGATTTATATATCGCCCTGCGCGATCGAGAGCTTATACATATCATGAATGGCAATGGGCGCATTGCGTGTCGCATTATATTGCGAGTGTGACAATATTTATACGCGAACGCGAACTTTAATGATCCTATTCTGCTGTTACGCGCGTCTCGAGTCTCTCGAAACGCGCCTCGCTCTCTGCGTGCGCTAGTTTGTCATTGGAAATCCTATACGCCTACTCGCCTGTGCGATCGATTATCCATTATATTATAGGCGTGCGCACGCATTGTCAAGAGTATAAGAAGTGCACCGTTAAATAGCTACATAATTCTTCGAAGGGAGTGTTAAGAAGTGACACCGCGATATACCTGAAGGATCCAGGTGACGAAGCTTGTGGCTGTACCACCACTGCTGGAGGCGGAGGTGGCGGTGGCACCACGTGTACTTGCAGCGCCGGCTGACTGGCCAAGTGATTCTGATCCTGGTCGATGTCCAGGTAGGGCGGCGGCTCGACCAGCAGAGCCGGTTTCTGCTGTTGGCGGCGACGATACTGCTGATTCTGGCGGTTATTGTAAGCCGGCAGATAGCCACTCGTCAGGGCGAACGGCCGAGGCCGCAGGGTGGTCACCGCGACGATCTGAGATTTCGACCTGGACGGCGGGGGAGTGATTATCAGTGGAGTCGTCGTTGAGGCTTCGTAGCTCTTCGACGACTCTATGCTGTTGCTCGAAAAGTCCTTCAACTCGGGTTGTCTGTAAAAAAACAATATGAATAATGTTGATGGATGCATTGGTGTCGCGTATAGAGCGTTGGAATATCATTTGAATGTATTTACCTGAATGGATTGACCGGTCGTCGGGGCCGCTGCTGCTGCTGCGATGACGATTGTTGCGCACTGGACGACGACGACGTCTTCGTTTTCGATATCGACACGGCGTCTTGAATCGGCCGATCTTTACCTACGTAGATCATCTTTGACCTGCCACGCGCGAGATATTAAAAATGTTCAATCATTTCAAACCTTTTGGATATACAATGAGAAATTTTGTATACTCACTTGAGAATGCGAAAGCCCTTGGCGTCGGCGATGTAGTCCTTGATGCGCAGAAAGCCGAGCTGATCGAGCCATCCCTCGGTGCCCACGACGGTGCCGTCCTGCAGGCGCTTCTCCTTACGGTACTGGCCGTTGAGCGTCTGAAAGCGAAAGTAGCGCTCGGGGCCCTCGTCCGTCTGGATGTGGTACTGCGTCTCCGGGTCGACGTTCCAGCCACTGCGCTCGGCCTCGATCTCCTCGGCGGTCAGGGCGAGTACCGCGATCTGAAGAGCGAAAAAAGAAAAGGGCATAATTATTGGACAAAGTCGGATAACGAGGGCTGTAAATTCGTAATTATTTTGTTCAATCATTAACTGTTAAAGATTTTACAATTTGACTTATGGGGATTTGGTTTTTACTTGAGGGTTCGATGATGACATCTGGCGGAAGAAATTCGACCACACTCGTGCTCGAGCGAGCGATTACTATCAATGAAGCTTTTTTAGGTTTTACGCGACGCCTCATTTATAAACATTATTTTAATAAGAATAAAACTGCAGATGCGCCGTGAATTATATGATCTCGGCGTTCTCGTATAAATACCGAGCTTGCACTTTTACACTACAAGGAACTTGCATATTGATAATTATCAATATAGCTATTATAATTATAATTATAGGAAACCGTCGATTAAATGTCTGGTGTTATTAAATTGTGTAATAGATTTTCCATGTTATTCAAATAAATAATTCAGAAAAGAGACTTTCAATTTTTTCAATTAAAAAATTCCCTAAATTAAATGAATGATCCCATACTATATATTCATTGCCTCGATCAGAGAAAAAAAAACAGCTGTAAGATGTGTAACGTCTTTATTCACATGTAAAAATTTAATTGAACAATAAACAACTCAAAAACTCATCTATGTACAGGAACAGCTGCAAGATGTACAACTTCTTTGCGTATACAGTTGAATTTAAAAAAATTCAATTCAAAATAAAAAATTTAAAAAAAAAATCAGTTCGATAAGAACCGCTACAAGATATGTAGCTAAAATTATACTTGAAGGTAAAAAATTTCAGAAATGTAGTCCCAAAAATATGATTCGATTCGATCGGGCGCCATCGATGTTAAACCAATGTAAGCAATCACCACAGAGTACCCATATACAATACAGGGCCATATAACACATTTCATTGCCAACACATCCAATGTCATTAAAAAGGCACGCGTCAAGTATACAACAATAATCAATAAATATGCAATCAAGGGGTGCTTGTCGCGTCTCGTTCGGCAAAAGAGGCAGAATCCACGCAACGCGTTCTCTTTATATGCATTGCGGCTTGTTTTTGGAAGTCCAAGATTCTGTTTGTGCGCTCGCTTGCATAGACGAAATAGATCCCTGCCGCTCATTTTTTCGGCAATTTTTAGACAAGCGAGGTACGGCAGATTCAATTGGCAATAATCCGTCGTAAATAGATCCGCTGCGATAAAGTTCATGTGTAGCCTGATAAAAATGTTTGCTATGTGTCTTTTCGCTATGAGATTCACGCGACCATGCTCCAGGCCAGCCAGTGACGGTACGCGCCAATCGATCGTCTTCTTGAAAATTGCGTAACCTTTGTCGTAACTCATTCGGCAAATGTCGTAGAGCGAAACGTCGTCGTTTATTTTGATATCATCCAACTTTGCCACTTGAAGCTTCCATCTATCGATCATTTTTCCACAGGGCTGAAAATCTCGAATTTGAAGTGGCATTTCCAATTCCAGTAATTTTTTTTTCCGTAACAAATAATCTACCGTTTCTTGTCTTATAAAAAAGCCGAATCTTTTATGAATGTAAATCTGATACACGATTTCTCTACATATCAAGCAACCTTTTTTCCATTCTTCCTTGGAGGGAATTAAATGAACGGCATCGTTTCCTCGTACTCTCTTCCAAAGTTCGAGCATCCTCAGTCTGGTACCTAAGCTCATTTCGTAGTCAACCGAGCGCAACAATCGCATCGTCTCGACGATGTTCAAAGCCAACGGATAGTTTTTCAACTCCAACGGTGTGAAATTCCAGTCGAACGCGTTGCGCTCCTTCAAAACGTCGAGACTCGCGCCGTATTCCAAGAGTGCCTTTACGAGCTCGACGTCGAAACGTCTCAGAGCCAAGCTCAGAGGAGTGTCTCCGCACTTGTCGCGCGCCTCCATATTCGCTCGTTTCTCAACCAGCATATAGACGATCTCGCGGACTGGTTTTCTGTAATCGCAGAAATGGTACTTGGTGCCGCATTCGCAGAGGCACAGTCGAGCCAGGGCGTGCAGAGGGCTCGACAGCTCGTGGTCTGGCTGATTCGGACCGGCGCCGCGTTCCAACAACAGCTTCACGACGTCTCTGTGCCTGAACAGGGCGGCGATGTACAATGACGAGCACTTCCACGTTTTGAGATCATTGACGTCGACGCCCTCTCGGATGTAACGCTCGACTCGTTCCACTTCGCCGTCCATGCAGGTTTCGTGAAAGCACGCGTAGTCGTACTCGTCGCCAGAAGCTCGCTGCGAATCGTTGGCGAAACGTCGGTAAAGTCTTCTGGTTCTTTGACGAATTTCATCATTTCTGCTCTTGGATCCTTCTAACTGTAGTAAAGAACGGTGCGCTTCGATGTTTAGACGGTTCCTTGAGGGATACGACAGATCCCAACCGTATCTCGATTGGATTTTCAAAGAGTAATCCCACGATTTTGATAAATAAGTCAATAAAGACTCCAGATTAATCAATTTCCATACGTACATATGTTTGCAATCTTCACAATTTGATAACATACTGGGAGATAACCACGTATCGATTGACTGTTGTAATAATAATTTTTGATTCTAACACTGAACGCCACAAGGTCGATACGTCGCACCGACAACTTGACACAGAGACGAAGCTAACCGCAACACTGTTCTGTACAGACTAGTTACAGGCATTACAACGAGTACTTTCAAAACCCAAAGTATATCCGTGAGTTTGAATTAATACCAGCATCTGGCGCATTGGCCATGTGCGACTGTCTCGAGAAAAGAAGATGCGAGAAAAGAAGATGACCCGAAAATTATGAACCGTCATAAATATGAATGTATAATCAAATATGAATTGAATTAGTTTCATATCTATTATTACTCTGAAAAAATGTTCTTACGAGTAGTTAAAGTACATGTTCAAGGTTAACCGCGTGCTCATATACTTTTTTGAGCGTGTCTGTACGGATCCAATTAATTCGAAAACGAGTAGAAAGTGAAAATTAACCCATTAACGCGCAAAAGTGCAATTTTGTGCATGAATTTTCCGTTGTAAAAAAATTATAGATAAAGTTAAAATATTTTCTTGAAAATCCATACCCAGGGGTTTTTGGGTATGCTCTTTCAGTATCCGGTGTTATTTTTGCGATAAATAAACATTACCGTCGTTTATTTTGCCACTAAAAACAAAAAACGTGATTTTTTGACTCAAAATTTTTTTTCAAAGTCGATTTTCTACCTTGCCTTGCCTTCGGAGGGTTCCCATAACACAAGAAATCGTGCACTTTTTCTCTGAACCTTCAAAAAATGCGCTGCCGCGATTTTTATCTAGCCTCTATATTTCTAAAATGGAGAATTTATACCGAGCAGTGGTATAAAAATTCACTCATTTTTTACTCAGAACCTATTTTACATGCGCTAAATATGAACTCAAAAGTACAATTTGGAGTGTAAAAACATATTTGAAATCGTTTAGAGAATACGTGTGAATTTTTTCAGAATTTTTCAGACCACTTTGAAAATTTTGCAAAATACGACCATTTCCCGGCCTGTCGAAAAAATCCAAAATGTTCCAAAAAAAATCTGAAAAATTTTGAAAAAATTATTAAAAAATTCTAAAAATAATTCACATCTATTCTTTGAACAAATTTGAACACTTTTCATTGTATGACTTTCTTTTATAAAGTCAATAATTAACAAATAAAATATAAGGCAATTTTCATATCGCTGCTCGGTATAAATTCGCCATTTTAGAAATTATAGGGGCTAGATAAAAATCGCTGCAGCGCATTTTTTGAAGGTTCAGAGAAAAAGTGCACGATTTCTGGTGATATGGGAACCCTCCGAAGGCAAGGCAAGGTAGAAAATCGACTTTGAAAAAAAATTTTGAGTCAAAAAATCACGTTTTTTGTTTTTAATAGCAAAATAAACGATGATAATGTTTATTTATCGCAAAAATAACACCGGATACTGAAAGAGCATACTCAAAAACCCCTGGGTATAGATTTTCAAGAAAATATTTTAACTTTATCTATAATTTTTTTACAACAGAAAATTCATGCACAAAATTGCACTTTTGCGCGTTAATGGGTTAAGGCACTCGTACCAATGCATACTGCGCCGTTGCATTGGGAAGCCTGTGGTGGGGATAAACTCCTATACTAAACGCATTGGATACTACATAATAGTATACATATTTGTATTTGTCAAATGGTAAAGATCATGATAATAGCTAAACTAAGTATAGCGTCTCGCGCTGTGGCTGTCGTCGAGTGTCTCGAGAAAAGAGGATATCGATTGACTCGAAGCGACGTCCTCGCGGTGATGAAAGTGTTTAGTTCTCACGAACTATTCGAGAAGTCGTCCGCCAAAGTTCCTCTCTCAACCAAGCGAAAGATATCATGGTGAAACCGAACTTGTCGCTCTACGACCTGATTCGGTTGTCCCCCAAAGAGGCGGCGAAATTAGTCACGTATCAGGACTACTTCGAGCTCTCGTGTTGGGGAAATTTACGCATGTTTACCAAGGCGTGCAAGATTCATCTGTGCGAGAAACTATTGAGAGAATTTTTCCGGAAATGGGGGCTAAATCCTTTCTGGGAGCTGATACATTATCGGCTACCAATTGAAATCTGTGAAATGATTCTTAAGCATCTGACGAACGAAGACTTGTATCATATTTGTGAGGCGGCTAGAAGACCAAAGTCTAAGGGTAGTGAAAAATATGTAATAAGACATTATTCTCCCGGAAGACCCGTGAGGGCTACAAAAGAGCTCCAAAAAGGTTGTAATATCATAAAATGTAAATAATATAAAGTTTCTGCTTTATTCTTGTTATGGAATTAATAAAAATATGGAAAAAATTTATGATTCTTGGTTTATATTTTTTTGGCGACTGCAAAGGCGATAAAAAGTTTGAATTATTTGTAATGCCCATATATAGTGTTATTTTACGTTGAAGATTTTAAATGTATAACTTTTTAGTCGTTTGAAACTTCAAATATAACATTTCC